CAGTCTGGTATATAACAGGATACAAAGTAAATGCAATCTTTAAATCTAACAATAATCTTTAAACGATGATATTTCCCGTGACTATACAACTTGTATACATAACTCAATAAAAACATTATTACGGTTATAGTAGATAAATAATTCTAATACTTATTGTATGATTATACATTTCGTCGTCTGAAGATTATAACTGTTATTACCAATTAGTATTATTACCAGGTACAACCTATTCTTCGTTATCTAAATTTGTAAAAAAAAAAAAAACCTCACATATTTTATAAAATTACCCACTTATTATTATACTTATTTAATCAACATCTAGGTACCACGACTTGTTTTCAAGACGTAAAAACCGTTTTTTAACAGTTATATTACATTGTAATTAAGACATTATGGGCAAAGTTAATTCGTACATGAGTTCTCATTTGCTACATTTATATAAACATTACTTAATAACATTTTGCTAAGAAATAATTTATTTTTTCAATTTGTAATGACTACATATTTAATATTTTGTAATTAAAATCTAATCAATTATACTTGTAGAAGCTACACATTTTCAAACTAGAAACTTTTTAAGGTTCTGAAGGAGACGCGATTTATATCTCAAGGTAATTAAAAAATATTTAGTGTATTTTCGTATAATTAATAATGTCCGTGTATTTATGTAGGTAAGTGTACACTTACACTGTACATTAATCGAACACATTGTAAAAGTGTGGGAATATTTTTTTTAATTTAATGTTTACGGCAATTAAAATGTATTTAGTCGCATTGATAACTATTATGAACATATGGCCAATTACTTATTAAAAAACATGTTATTTAGTCCGTATGGATTTATTTTATTTGGAAATATATAGAGTATATGATATTTATAAAAATAATAATAAATATAAGAGTATAAGAATGCTTGGAATATTAATAAAACGGGTGAAATTGTCTGACCATACAAGAAATTCAACTTACATGTAACTGTAAAAACAAAAAGGGTTAATATAAAAAAAAATATGCTTATACAATGGATTTGTTTTTTAAGTTAGAATAGTTTAAGGATCATAATACAACATTAATACATTTTACATTAAATAAACGTATATAATGTGTTAAATCTTTATCTTTTTGAGCCATTTTAATGAACAATACAAATATTTATAATGATTTAGCATTTAAGCATTTAGTAGTAATGAAAATTACATATAGTATGTATACATCCAAGCTCTAACCACAATTGCTAAATGATCTATTTTTGGAATTTGGAACATTACAATTTTTCACGGGGCGCCGGCTCCGAGTGTGTCAGGTATGTCAACGGCATCCAACTATCAATGGCTCCTAAAGAGCACGAATGAAAAATAAAATGTGTATTTGCATATTACTCTATTTACTCAATTTACTCTAATAAGTCATGGTATCCGTAAAATATTCAGATTCCACGATTGACAAAATGTACCTATAATAATTATTGTCATTGACTAAATATTAAACAATTAATATTATAGTTCACATTAATAATTAACGGTAATTATATTGATCAACCGTCATTTTCATCTGTGAATTCAAAAATTATCATTTATAGTGTGCCCTGTGTATACCGTGATATTTTTATCGATTCTATCCTGTTAGTGTGAATGTGTATATGTGTATGTTCAATGTGTAACATACCTACATAAAATATATACAATAAATACATACATAAAATTTAAAGGATTTTCAAATTGTATGTGATATCACTGGCCCATGTAGCATTCTTAGGTTTTGTTTTAGGGTGGAAGGAGGCACAAAGTTTTTCAAAAAATGATAAAATACCTATGTTTAAAAAAATAAATACTCATAATAGGATATAATACACGACTTTAATTCATAATTGTACATTATAGATAACATTACCTGACACGGGTTATTACTTATATTGGTGACAAGATAATCTAAAAATTATATAACACGTTTCCATAATAATTTTATTTAATTGTATTATTTATAATTTTTACATATAAACTGTAACAAAACTAATCGAGGACCAAGAACAATGTGGGAAACAATGCCCCTTTGCCCCCAGTCCTTGTCACTGACAGTTAATTTATCGTTGAATTAAATAAAATCTGTAGTAATCAAATTCTAATTTTATAATTAAAAAAAGTAAAATGTTAATATGCACTGACTTAATATTCATTCCAACGAGAATGCCTAAAATTGTAAACCCTAATAAATATGAATTTTTTTTAATAAATTTAGATATTCAAATTATTTTTTATCACATTTACATGTATAGCAATTAATAATAAATATTACTTTTTTTCAAGATTTTAATTTTTATTAACACTGATAGAAAGTTAGCTAATGTAAAATTATGAAACTATTATGACAATTATGTCTTATAATCGAAAACTTTACAATCATGTATGTTGAATTGCTCACCTCTGGAAGCCAGGCGACGGACCAAATTGTGTTAGCCATAGATTTCTCCAGTTGTTTGAAAGTAAGTATTCATAGTCTATTATTACATAATACTTACAAATTCCTATCCGACAAAAGACACTAGATTAAATAAATTTAGTTGGTCCACATGGATCATATCATTCCTATCAATTGGCACATGAATTAAGACATATAATACGACTTTTTGCTAGCCAATTAATTTGTTTTTTATGGTTGTATATAAATATTATATCAAGACTGCATTATATTTTATTTATTTTTTATATGAACGTGTGAAATGTAGGTACTCTAAATAACTAACACTTTCCATCATATTTGTCCAAGCAACCTCGAGTTTTAAGGACAATTGATAATCGAACCTCGGCATCTATTTAGGTGTCTGACCTAGGTGGGTAAAACAACATAATGGCTTCCACACCACATGAAAATATTATAAATAGGTATTTTTTTAATAATTTTGTGTACTCATCGTCATTTTTTAAATTTCATCCGAAATTAAAATAATTAAAATTTCAACCAAAAATAAAATATCGTCGAAAATGATCTATTTATTATTATTATTGATTTTATCAAACGACATCGCTTAAAATTATAAGAAATATAACATTAGTTATGAATTTATATATATAAACAGTAATCAATATTTTAATTTTAATATGTTTTATTAACTGGCAGAGCCCTATATAAAAATTTTTCAATTATAAAACACATAATATATGTATAATAATAAAAGAATGTAGAAAAAGAAAAAAGAAATAATACAACACATTTGATATTTTATAGTAAATAGTTAGTGAGTGGTGCTCTCATTATTCAACAGTATCATACGATCTTTTACCGATCTGAGGGATTATTTCTCCCATAATTAGTAGTGTATTAAAAGTCTTAACTTTTTTTACATGAATTAGTGCTGCAGTTTTTACCGCAACAGACACATCTTGGGTGATTGTTTCAGTATAGGTAATCTCGTAAAGACTAAGTTTTGATAATTTAAGCATTGCGGTGTTTGTTTGTTTATATGGGGTAGTTCAATTTTCTCTTAGGTACCTATAGTTAAACGTTTTAAGCTCAAATATGACTGTTGTTTAATGTTTATTCAAAATCAACAAAAAAAAGTTGTGATTTTTTGAAACTCAATGTTAAGCGTTTCTTAATTTTTGTAAATTTTATATAACATTCCAGTATGGTTTGTTTTCTATAGATCATTAAGTATAAAATTCAACATTTGATTTTTTTAAAAATTGTATGATACCTCTGTAAGCATTTTACGAGATCGTTTTTAATTTAACTGACCCAATTTTTGCAAAATAAATGGTAGTTTTATACTTTAGTTTTAATGAAAATATTGGGGGAAGACATTTTATGATGATTTTATTTCCGTCGTTGGTTTCTATTTCTGTGTTTTTGATTTGTAATAGAGCGGTAAATTTATTACAATTAGAAAATTACATATTAGTGTTTATTTTAGATTGTTCAATTTTTTTTCAAAAAAATAAATATTTATTTATGATCTACTATTGAGTAGATAGGAATATAATCACTAATTATGAATAAAAATCTGAGGAGGTTATACAATTTAGTTTCTGATAATACTTATTGCAAATCTACACCCAACTCTGAGCATAATTCATGACATTTAATTAGAATAGTAGAGATACAATTATTTTTACAAATATTATCATATTATCAATTATCATTCAATTTTTATAGTAGTAAATATTTAGTTACAAATTTCCAATATTAATAAAAACCAGACAATTATGCAAGTATTGATTTTTGTTTAAGATCCATTTAATTATTTAAGAAAATTGTTCATAATTTTATGTTGATAACATTATAGCTCAATAACTACATAGTCTAGTCTGATTTTTAACCATATTTATTTTTCTATAAATTAGAAAAATATAAAATAAGTGAAAAAAGCCTAAAATATAGAATCGCATGAAACTAAAGAAATATTGTATTTTGTATTTGACTCATTCTGAAAAATATAACTTGACAGGACCAATTTAAATTTTTATTCAAGACAGGGATTATTAGAGTATTCCAGTATATTTGCATTATGGATTATAATATATGATAGTAAGTATATTTATTTAGTCAAATATCTATGAATTATTAATCTCCATTAGTTCATTTAAAATTGTTTTTTGGTTAATCATATTATTACTATTAAATTAATATCATTTTAATCTTCTCAATTCAATGTTTTTGAAAGCTCATCAAAATACTGAGAGTTCTTGAATTCTTAACATGATATCATTTCAAAATGTTGGAATGAGACAATGATTATTTATATTATTTAAACAATAATAGTAACAAAAAACTACAATTTTAAAATCGCGCCATAGATTAATTTATTTCAATGAATATTATTATTTAAAAACAAATTAATAATTAAATTATAAACTATTATTTATGAATGTACTTTGAAAATTTCAATACATAAGTCACAAATTTACTATTTATTATTTTTTTAATGAAAAAATGCATAGTAGTATATCATATCGATAAAAGTTATAGGAAAAAATTAATATTTACAGTCAAAAATAATAAAACAATAACAAATTTTAAATAATTTATTTTTACTATTATAATTACTAATAATACTTTCCTTTGAATTTTCTGCTCATAAGACATGGCTTGCATTTTAAAATCAATATGATGCTTAATCGATTAACTTATTTTTGCTTTTCTTTATAGATTTATTAAATGCCAATAACATTTGAGCTAATATGTGATTTTATTGAAGTGGGCAAACTAAAGATACGAGCAATAGTTAATTTGTAAAATTTAATAAGATCGAATCATAGGTGGTACTGATTCTACTTCTTTGTCATCCAGAGTATGGTCAATAACAGGCCTATATGTTAATGTAATCTAAAAAAAAATTAAAACAAAATGTATACAATAATGCTCACACTAAAAATAAAAATATTATTAATTTTCTACTAACTTCTCCAGAATTAGGATTGATGTGAGCAAGTGTATGTTTCCTCCAGTGCTTTTCAATTGGTATCTTGGTTTGGCCTTCCAATGGCTTTTTATAGTCAAATTCATCAACACGGTCCTAGGAAGAAAAATTTGTAAATTAATGTGTCTGCTGCATGAATTAAATTTAAATATTGTTACCGCAATATAAGACATAATAACAAAAAATGTTTTGCTTATTATAGATTTTTTTTAAAAAAAGGGAGAAATTAAATTAAATCAAATACTAATGGATTATAAACTAATCAAACTCACTTTGAAATCATCTCGGGCATGTGCTCCCCTAGATTCTTTTCGTTCAGCAGCAGATACAATAGTTTGTTGTGCAGTAATTAATAAGTTTTGTAATTCTAAGGACTCCACTAAATCTGAATTCCAAACCATAGATCTATCATTAATCTATAAATAAAAGAAAAAAAAATTAAAATAAATAAATTGAATTTTTAGTGTCCTTAATATACATTTATTGAATAGATTAAGTACTCTAAATGTTTGAGATACCTAACTATCTATATCCTTAGGTATTTATTCTATAGATTAGCAACTTCCAAAATTTTTTCAGCAGGATAATCTCAAAGGTTCTGCAAGATGTATATGAATATTAAGAGTAGTAATTGTAATAAACAATAATCATGAAATATTTTTAAAACATTTTTTGGAGTATTGGATTTTCAATAAATAATTGAAAAATTGAGGATAAGTTTGAGTTGCTAACTTTGGGATTCTACAAAACACTAACTATTTCTTATGGGTTCCATAATTGTACCTTTATAAAATTAGCTTAACTCATAGACCAATGAGTTAACTTAATGTAGTTATCAATTATTTGCAGAGAAAATCAACAACTATGTTCTTAGTCAAAGAAAAAATCAGAAAATTAAAAACCAAACTTATATTTTGGATTACACTAGTATAAATAAATGACAGATATTAAATGATTTACTCTTTTGATGTAATTTTTAAAAGAAAACGATTTGCTCAAAAAAACTACTGATAAAAAAAAAATTATTGAAGAGTTGTGAAATCTTGAAAAATAATTGTCTCAATTCTTTCCTAATATTTACAAGACTAATTAGATACAAAATTCTTTCATTAACCAAATAAACATGCCAACGTGCTTGATTATGAAAATATTATTGAAATTCAAGGTATATCTACTTAATATTTTAGAAAACGGAAAAATGATTAAGTGATAACAATAAAAAAATAAAAATAAAAAAATTAAAAGAATCATAAATCAATAATTCACTAACATTAAGTGAAACTAATTTCAATATGAAAAATAAGATCATAAGTAATGTTTTTTTAAAATTACCATTAATAATAATTATACATTACCAATTAAAATAACTGTATAAAACATAAAAATATATCTAAAAAATGTTAAATAACCTTTTACTGAATAAGTGAGTTAGTAAATAAAAAGTGAATAGTTACATACAGTATTTTATTAAGTTTATGATGAACTAAAAATTAAGAATATATAATTCTTACTTTAATATCCTTGAGTTTTGAATAAATGGCTTGCATCTTTTTACGACCTTCATCTAAAGTACTCCCAGTTCTAAATACAGCAGCATAAAGTTGCATATTTTTTTGCATATCCAAACGCAAATCTGCAGTAGGTACTGTTCCATTACTAAAACGTAATTTGTCAATATTGGCAATTGATTCTTCTCCAGCATTCTAAGATAACACAATTATTATTTTAAAAAAAATGAATTTCATTATTTAACTTTACTTCACAAATTGTTGGTATTTTATCCCCAGGTTTGTTATATTTAGCAATATCTAAAGCACAAGAGCGTCCAAATACCACTAACTCAAGTAATGAATTAGCTCCCAAACGATTAGCTCCATGAACAGATGTACATGCTGCTTCACCGCATGCATACAATCCAGGTACTACTTTATCTTCTCCATTCTGAGGATTAATTACCTAAGTAAAACATTAAAAATAAACAATGAAAAAAAAAAACTGAAAACAAGATTTAGTTTACATTATAATCTAAAAAATAATGTGTTGATCTTCCACTTTAACATAAATTATTTAATGAGATATAAAAATTAGAAAATATATACGTAATTTTATAGAGGCATTATCTGAATAGCAGCATACATTTTACATATAAAAATTTCGAAAATTATATAATTCATCAATAAAAATAAATACATTTTTTTTTCCTGTAATCCAAAGGAAATATATGTATTAATAATATTGGTATGTTAAAATTTTTGATATATTTTCTAGATTTTTAATAATATTTAAAACTATTAGAATACATTTTGTTAAATTTGGTTTCTAACCATGATGTGCTATGTTAGAGCAATATGGTGGCAGCAGCACAGTAGTGAAATAAAACAATACAGACTCAATTTTGCATATTTTATTTTTAAGTATACTGTTACAGACATAGATAGATGTAGGTCCTTACGAGTTATATTGCCAATACACAGTACATAATAATTATTAAAAATAACTATTATAGAAAGGCATCAATATGATATATTGTTATGAATATACATAGATAAAGGTCCTTACGACTCTTACTACATAGGAGGGACCACATCAAGCAAAAATAATAAACATCGGGAAATGATTATAAATAATATAATATTCATATGAAGGAATTATTAATTAATTAAAATCAGAATGTAACACAAACACATATTATATATGAACTGGATCGCTCCATTCTAAAGTGAAGTATTAAAAAGCAATTAAAAGATGCACAACAAAATATGAAAGATGTGCAAATAGTAATATTAGCGAGGTCACTAAAGTAATAAATCTTATATTTATAATAATCAGGAACAATTTTTATACAGTGCGGCATGGTTGATTCTAACAAGACCTGAGTATATAAGGGGGTTGTTAACAGACCAATATTTATATGTGTTTTAGTCCTGTCCGAGAAAGCACCTTCACACCAATTGACTTAAAGCATATTTAACTAATAAGTATTTAACTTAAAATTGTTTCTCGTACACAATTACGTAAACTTAAATAAATATTATAACAGTTGTTAATTTATGAGAATTGACTTATTATTTGACAATCTTAACGGTTGAACTGACATCAAGCAACAATACTGAAGTTGAAAAAAAATGTAATTGTAAATTATTAAAATCATTGTATAAATCAAGCAATATACAAAAAAGATATATATCATATATATATATAATCTTTGACTCTATAAAATAAATTCTCATTATTTTGTTAAATAATATTTTTTTTAATTTGAGATTATTACTTAAATGTTTTTTTATCATTTTTATTACAATATTAAAACCTTAAAATTTATAATCTAAAAAAATATAATATAACTGTTGTGATGTCCTTTAAGACCAAAATGTTTGTACAAAGAATATTTTTACGAAACATTTGTATTTAAAACTTATATTTACTGTAATTAAAACCAAATCTTACCTTTGTTTACAACTTTTGTTCATCATAAATATTAATATAGTTAAATTAAATAAAACCGGCTAAGTTTAATTTTAAACAAACTATTCATATGTTTTTACAGCATACACAGTAAAATAAATCTATACTTAAATTAAAAAATATTGTGTAATGAAGCTAAATATATATAAAATTTTGATGAACAAAATGAGTAAATATAATTATCATATTCTACTATAACATTTTTATTAAAAAATAGTAATACCTGTCCTCTATAGTTGGTAGGTATTCCACCCATATTATAATGAACAGTAGGCAATACTGGTATAGGCTCTTTGGTAACATCAACTCCAGCAAATATCAAAGCTGTTTCTGAAATACCAGGTAATCTAGCATGTAATTGTTCTGCTGGTAAGTGATGCAATTGGAGATAAACATGATCTTTTTCAGGACCACATCCTCTAAAATAATAATAATTTAATAAGTCAGTTAATTTACAAATTTGTTTTCAAATAATTGAAATTTTAACTTAAAAAAATGATATATATATATATTATATTGGGTAATTTAAATATTTTGCAAGACAACTTTCTTTGGTAGATATCTATTAAGGCACACTATAATAATAAAAATGTAATACATTTGTAAATATACATATTTTAAGTTTCTTGAATATAAATTAACTATTCAATAAATATATCTTATGCAATGATGATAGTTCTTCATTAAGTGTTTAAACAAAACATTGAGTAGTATGCAAGTGAAATAAAGCAGCTGTAATTAATGCACAGTTGCTGGTTTAAACTGAGACGTTTTGAGTAAATCTCTCTACGATATCTTGAAAAAAAAATATTGCCACCACCATCTTACCTACTTGCCGTATTTTACCATTCATCTATTGTCAACAAATCTAATGGACCATAAACACACACAGGAAGGACTTTCATAATTTCCAAAACATTCAATAAAAAAAAGGTATATAATAAAAAAGTATACAAAATTACAATAAGGTTATTTACTTTTATGTTTTTGTGAGTTATAATAAACAATTTTATGGATAGTTTTATAAACAATAATGAGCGAATCTATAATTATAACTACGGGTAACCTAAACTACGAGTAACTAATTTAGAAATACTTGACTAAGTGATCCGTAATATTCAAATTTATAGTAGAAAATCTGTATATGATATTTTATTTAAAAATTAAATTACTAAATTAAATTGTTTGATTGTTTTTATACATATAACTAAAAATATATTTATTTACCTTCCTTCCATAATTTCAACAGTCATTGAACGAGATACAACATCTCTTGAGGCTAGCTCTTTAGCATTAGGAGCATACTTTTCCATGAATCTTTCACCTAATCCATTGATTAAATATCCTCCTTCACCACGACAGCCTTCGGTCATTAAACAACCAGCACCATAGATACCAGTAGGGTGGAATTGTACAAATTCCATATCTTGCATTGGAATGCCAGCTCTAGAAGCTAAAGCTTGACCATCGCCTGTACATGTATGAGCAGCTGTACATGAGAAATAGGCTCTTGCATAACCACCAGTAGCTAAAACCTATTAAAATTCAAAATAATAATTATACAGACTGAAATATAGATGAATAGATAAAAATAAAAAATGTACAAACAGTATTTTTAGCTCTAAAACGATGAATAGTACCATCTTCTAAACATAAGGCAATAACTCCAACACATTCTCCTTTATCCATAATAAGATCCAAAGCAAAATATTCCACAAAATAATTGCAATTAAATTTTAAAGAGTATCCATACAAAGTATGTAAAAGTGAATGACCCGTTCTATCAGCTACACAACAAGTACGATGAGCCTGACCACCTTTTCCAAATTTTAAGCTTTGGCCACCAAATGCACGTTGATATATTTTGCCTTCATCGGTACGACTGAAAGGCATACCTATAAAAATTAATAAATAATTAAAAATATTTATAAACTGATTATTTATTTAGATAGTTTTTAAAAATAATATTATAATATATTTATAATAATATTATTAAATAGAAAAGAACACTTAACAATAATTTAAGTGGACACCACAATAACAATAACCTCACTGTAATAATGTAACATCACTACATTTGAACTACTGAATACAAATTTGATAAATTGTATTTGTATCAAAGGAGACAACACATTCAGGTGTGTCCTCTTTAATTATTTTTTTGTTATATGTGTGTGTAAAATGTATAGTTAATAACCATATTTAAAATGTATTTTAAATAATTTTACCATAATTTTCTAACTCAATGACAGCTGCTGGGGCTTCTCTAGTTAAATAATGTATTGCATCTTGATCACCTAACCAATCCGAACCTTTGACAGTATCAAACCTGAAGTTCAAATAAAATTAACTAATTATTATTTATTATATATGCTTTATATGTATTTTTTTTTACCATATAATGTAATATATTTAAATAATATACAGATTTTAATTCAGATAAATGTAAACAGATATATTAAAAAATAAATTAAAATAGAAATAATAAGTTTACATATGCCATCGCCAATCATCATCTTCCATATTTCCCAAAGCTGCATTTATTCCACCTTGTGCAGCAACCGTATGGGATCTTGTAGGAAAAAGTTTAGTTATAACAGCTGTTTTAAAACCTTCTTGTACTAAGCCAAAAGCAGCACGAAGACCAGCTCCTCCAGCACCAACTACAACAGCATCATACTCGTGGTCTATAACTGAATATGCACTTGTTCCCTAGAAATAATCATTTTGTTATATAAATAATTAAATTTATAATAATTTGTAGAAAAATATAATATTCTAAAACAATACTTAGAAAAATAAATAAATTACATTTATATGTGTACACAAATAAAATTAAGATAATTTTTTTATTAATAATATAATTAATTATAATTGGTTAAATGTTATGGACATCTATTTTTCTAGGAATGGAGATGAACTTACAGCTGAAGTCGATGGTTTCGAGGAATAATGTTGTAAATTACTTGTGCCAATTAATGGACGGCTCCAATTATTCTGAAAATAAATATAATAATATAAATTCTTTAGATTTTATGCATTGATATAAGTATAAAATACTACATCATTCAAAAAAAAGTTTAAAGAATAATGATTGTTTTATCAAACAATTATTTGTTTATATATAAGTACAATAACATAACACATAAATATTACTGATAATCTATATCTAATTAATTTGGTATATGAATACACTAACTTATTATCAATGAATTATTCCAAAATAACAAGATATTTAATCTTAATATATTTTATAATTTAATATTAAACTATCCAAACCCTTTGTAAACAAAAATATTTAAAAAAATATTCTACTTTATGATTTATTGAATTAAATTGGTATAAAACCAGTTATTATTTAAACTGCAATCAAAAGTATTTGATTTTTCCTTTTATTTAAGATTCAAACTAATTAAAAACATAATGATATTTTTTTTTTCAAACAATATATCAAAATAATGTTATTAGTTATTTATATATAACAATTTAAATAAACTTTTATAATTAATATAAAATATCAGAATTTTCAATGATAATAAAGAAATATTTCAATTTACTGAAATTATTGCAACATATAATGCAATATTGTGTAATAATTTGAATTAGTGATTAAACTTTAAAAATCTAAATACATTTATTAATAAAATACTATACATTACTTAATATAAATAGAAGTATATTTTATTTTCATTAAATAGTTATAAAAACATTTTATACGCATTTTTTATTGATACAAAAAAAAATGCAAAGCTAGATGAACTAAGACAATTTAACAATTTAATTCATGAGTAGAAATAAAATCTTCAGTTTATAGTTATAATTTTTATTTTTAGTTAGAAACAATAATGCAATTATTTAATTTAATTAAAATAGTGTTTTAAAAAGAAATATTTCTAGTTGATTAATATTCAAATTTTGTATGTATGAAAAAATTGTCTCCCAAGGTAATAGATTTATAATTAATTCAGCATTAATTTAATATTATTATAAGGTATTTGAGTTATAAGTGATTATATGTATATGATATACATGTATATTGATTTATTTATACACATACAAGAAATGGATATTAAATTAGCATTTTTATACTTTAAATTATTTTTTTAAACCATTATATTATTAAAATGTGAAGTAATACACAGAAAATGTATTATGATGCATTCAAAGGTTAATTAATAATTAACACAGATACAAATAAAGAGATAATTATTTTATGTTACAATAATTTATATTTTTAATATTTTTTTAAATATAAAAATAATAAAATAAAATAATTTTCAATAATACTATTTATAGTCTCTTTTTTTTTTCAAAACTTATTGAGGTACGTTTTATTAAACAGTAGTATAGTATAAAGATAAGTATTAGTCATCAATCTTTTATTTTAGTAAATTACTTACAAATTTTGAATAAGTACTTCGTGATGTAGGATTGATAACCTTTAATATACCAGCCATTTTATTTGTTCACAGTAGTCAAATGATTCTCAAATAGATTTAACTCCACAACCTTAAGGTAATAGGAAACGAAAAAGTCAAATGTCAATAACTGAGAACTACTCTTAAAATTTAACTATTTTATAATCAGCTGCAAAACAGCTTAACACGAATGGTAATTTGGTGATAATGGATGTAGAACGAATGTACATATCAGTACAATCATACATGATCAGTGTTTCCTAACGTTTTTGTAATGGCATTATAATAATAATGGTATTATTATTATTATATATCAATAGTACTGAACTGTCCGATGGAACGGATTATAGTTTTACGAATAGCAAATTTAGTCATTGAAAAATAGATACTCAATATATAAAATTTGAGTATTTAAAAATGAGTATTTAATCGTAAACAAAAAATTTTAGTTTGTATCTACTCTATAGTAGTCTCGATGTACCTATTTACTTATTGCTTAGCTGTTTGAACAATCAACAGTCATTAATACTTATATCAATAAAATAAAATAATACTAACGTTAGTAAAAATATATTGATATATATGTCCTATATTCTACAAAGTAGAATCTACAATGCTAGCGAAACTTCACATTATTGTTATACCTAGAAGTATCAAATAAAAACATAATTTAAGCATTTACAAACTTATGGCTTAAATGATTTTCATATTTATTTTATTTATGGGTTGTCAGTCGTAACCCATAAAAAGTGTTTGGATCTCAACCCATAGGTTGGGAAACACTGCCATAGATAATATAAGAAATAATAACTTATATTATCTATGGCATAACCACGTTAGTGATTAACAAACTATTGAATTTCCATGGATGAAACGGTGAACGATCAATTATGCGGTCATGGACAACAAAATAGTGTGACTTTCCGGTACGGCAGAGTACGCATCCCTGCCCAATCTGGGTTACCACATAATTTGCAATCGCTTTGCGCCAATCGCGGCAATACAACTGTATCTTATTCTTTCCTAATAAATAACTTTACCTAGTTCTTTTGCTGTTAATCGACCGGTTGAGAACCAGCGTTTCGCTCCCGCTAGTTACTGGTAAGTAATATCTTAGCATTTTATTTCATCGATTTTGAATTTTTTTTTATTTCAAATAGTCCTTCGTATTCCAAATTAGGTTAATCACGGTCCGTTTACCATGGGATATTTTTTTTTTACATTTTTGAGGTTTATTCCTACCTGTTAAAATCACGTTTTCTGTTAAATTTTTTTTTACAGATTTCTACTTTCATTTAACTAAAAAAAAAAAAAAATGGGTGACGCAGATAAAGGAGCCGCTGTAAGTTATTTTAGGTTATTTTTTATTTAAATATATGATATTGATCGACAGTTGTTTCAAGGTATTCAAAACCAAATGTTCTCAATGTCACACAATTGAAGCGGGTGGCAAGCACAAAGTTGGACCAAATTTACATGGTTTAATTGGTCGTAAGACTGGTCAAGCTGCTGGATTCTCCTACACAGATGCCAACATCAATAAAGGTAGAATATATAGTTTTATTAACAATTATAAAGAAATATACATAAACTTATAATTTAATTATTAGTAGTAGGTAAATAGAAAGAAGTCACACCCTATATTTTTATACTTCATAATTGTATTATAATTCATAATACGTATTATGTTTTTTTGCATAGGAATTACATGGAATGAACAAACATTATTTGAGTACTTAGAAAATCCAAAGAAATATATTCCTGGTACCAAAATGGTATTTGCTGGTATTAAGAAAGTAGAAGAAAGAAATAACCTAATCGCCTATTTGAAAAAAGCTTCCGCGTAATGTCAGTATTTTTGTTATATACTGTTTTAATAGATTAAATTATGAGTAACTTTTTGTGTTATTTTTTTTTTTTTTATATATTTTTTCCTAGTATTGTTACTGCGGTATACACGTACAATTTTTAAATTAAGTTATTACTTGTTTAAAATATTTTATTGTACAGTGTTTAGACTCAAAAAATTAAACGTTTTAGAATTAATTGAATGAATATTTTGTAAAATGTATATTGAAGGTCAAGGTCGAAGAGTACTGAGAAAACTACTATAATTATATTACATACTTATAGATAAAATATGACATTGACCTAAACATATTACATTGTTCATTGACAAGAGTATTAATTGAAAGGAGTTTGATAACAACTTAAAATAGAAATTGGCACTTAATTCTAAACTATATTTTAATATTATTTTAAGAAATAGGTCAAATTATTGGCACAACATTACTTTTAATACTTAAAAGTATTCATTGCTTAGACAAACTTTTAGGTTTAATGTATGACTAATATAATTTAACATTTTGTTATATAGTCAATGCATTATTTTAATCTCCTTAGCGATCACATCTGTGGTGTTTATACATATCGTACTGTAATGATGTGCATCATTCGATTGTAAATGACTGCACAAATATTTTATAATAATGTACACTATTCATATGTATGTGATTTTTTAACCATTTAAAATAAATAATGGTGTCTTCGATACCCTCACGAACAATAAATACTATTAACATCCTAAAATTCCAAGGTCCATGCTGCCGCATGTCCCTATATAACAGACATATAACCCTTCCCAGAGCTCTTGATCTTAGGTCGTTAGTGCCTGTGCACCGATCATAAGATTAACGAGAGAGTTTATACGTGTGATTCATTTTGACTTGTGATTTTAAATTCTGCATTTGTCCTTTTTTTCAACCTCGCATCGATATCTGAAGGTCTACGGTAAAACAAGCAAGTGCTGCCTTATTTAGCTTGGCAGATTATAATAGCGCTGATTGGCTCTCGAACCTTCACAACCCTGAGAGCCCTCCCTTAAACTAGGAGAAAGGTAACAACCCTTTAATACACTCATATCTCATCACCATTTATACATACCACCTTCCCCCCTTTATTCTTTCTTTGTATTCTTGGGTTATTACAGTATCTTTGGAATAAACCTTTACCTATAGTTATCGATAAGCTTAGGATAACCTCCTATTATTCCTACACCATATATTTATTGTAGTAGTACATCTGGAATTACCAGTAATTAGTTTGAATGAAAGTATTAGTGCACATTATTGAATACCAGTAAAGCGTTAACACCGCAGCATGGCTAAAAATTTTTGTCATTTTAATGTAAATAAACTTGAGACATTATAATATAAATAACACTTTTTACAAAAAAATAGATGTATTTTTCATGTTACACTATATTAGTGGTCTCGAATTACCAATGGGCTATATGTATTTATGTCAAAGGTTCGTAGACAAAAAACCTTTTTTTTTTCCTTATTTTAATAGTAAATCTAAAATAAACAAAATAAATTGAGACAAAATGTATTTATTTTATTGATTATAATTATGACAAAAATAGACATTATACTGTATTAATTTTTTTAAATATAAATCGCGTTTTAGGCGTGATGTTATGAAATTGCACCGTCTGATGGGCCATATCTAAGAATACTCAAGTGGTATTAATTTCACGAGATCAAAATAAGTAAAGCGAAAATTGAATTAAAGTGTATTTATTATGCTTACACCAATGGCGTAGATACAATTTTTTTCTGTGGGGGGAGGGTGTTAAAGAGTATGTTTTTAAGTGTTCTTAGTATATCCTAAAACGAGGTTATATATAATATTACATTTAAAATGGTATTATTATTATGTCTCGTATTCAATGAAAATTATTTTGTTATTCAATTTTTAATATATACCTAATCATAGTAAAATCAAAATATTTTACTATAATAAATAATAATCAAATATCATTAAAAAAAAATCTGTGGGGAGGGTGGAAACTCCTACACCCTACCCGTAACTACACCACTAACCTACACTATTATATATTATTGATTATTATAATAGTATTAATAATCAATGGTATAAGTCAGGGATGGGCAACTGGTGCTCACGTACTTTTTTTTTATCTTGACCGTGCTACATTTTAGCAGTTATCAGTATCTAATTTTTTCATGTTTATATGTAAAATGTAGATATATTTTTCTTTGGCATTAATCTCTAGCTAAATTATTAAATTTCTAAATATAATATTAATTTATATCCATATCAGCCATACTTAACTTTGCTGTAGGTATTAAGCACTTATTTTATTGTGTTAGTTCAGTCGTAAAATTAAATGCTAATTGTCAATTTTAATGATCTATTTTTCATTTTTGCTTTCTTTTTTATGGTTCGCTAGATTTTAAAGTTCTAAAAATTGGCCCTCTAATTACTTTGTGTTTCTCATCCCTGGTATTAGTTATTAAAGTACATTTATATAAAGGTTACATATTTCTTCTGATGATTGTATTTTCTATAGTATCAAAATTTGTTTCAGAGTAGTGTATAGGAACAGGGCCGGTGAGAACTTTTAAAGGCCCCTGGGCTGATCGGTTCCAGGCCCCCTTTATTTGTACTTGTTTGGCCAAGATATACATACTACTTTTGTGTTACGAGCACATATAATAATAATTAATAATGATTTATTACATAATAATATCAAGGGCACACAAGACTACTTATTACGAGTCAAACACGTAGGAATATTATAACCAAGGGGAAATCTTAAACATAATGCATACACGGAGGAATGTCTTAGATGGTGTGTATATACTTGAAATACATTAATAATCAATATGATAGACATATGCAAGTGTAGTTATAATGATGAATGTGTGGAAATCACGTATTAAATAATATCACACAATAAATATATGAAAATGTGACAAATGCTCATATGATTAGAAAAAAGCTACATCCCGAATTAACAGGAAAACTCTGTACCTGTGAAATCATATATCACTGACCACGTCTTGTATTGAATAGTAATGAGACAAAGAACAATAATAAGTTCACACGAGATCGAGGTATAAAAAGGGGTTCGATCATACTCATTTTCAAATGTGTTTTAGTCCTGTTATAGTGTGTACCTTAACGCCAGTTTGTTTAATAAATTAATTATTTGGATTTGGAATAGTTTTTATAAAGTTAATAAATATTTGGAATTAGCATTTATTCATAATAAAGTAATTCATTCAAGTTGAGAGTTCATTATTTCATACTTATCACTATTCTACATTGATTAAAATTTACTCTCGTTGTACTGTCAGTACCCACAAGTTGGCACGCGACATATACATATTTTAGTACAATAAAAATATTTAAATTTGCATCTTATGTTACGGCGAATGAAATTATTAGATAATTTATTATAAAAGGCTGAGAGGACGGGCCCAGGGACTCTAGCCCTCCTTGCCCCACCCTCTTGCTGACCCTGCATAGGAATGAAACAAAATACAAATAAATAAAATAGCAAACTAAATAATATTATACTCTGTTACTTATAGTTTAAAAAAATGTATTATTATCATTTATAATATGAGCTGAAATAAATTTATATAAATTCAAATAAAGATTGGTAAAATGGCAAATTGAATAGATTATGAACTAAAATTAGATAGTGTATACAACTAAAAAATTAACAGTTTACATATTTTAAGTTTAATGGATTACAATAGAAAATAAATTAGTTGAATTACGGTTTTTGAAAACCAAAATATAATCTGTTCTCATCCGGATAACGTTTACGAATTTATAGTTCAATAGTATATTCGTGCAATCTATATTAATAATCTTCAACCATAACAATAATACTGATAAAATATTAATAGAAGCTATATTTTCTAAACCACTAGGACAATTTACAGTAAAAAATTATCGAGCTGAAAAAGAAATTTCACAACAACAGATTGACGTGCAAAAATAATTTAATATCCACATGCTAAAATATTTTTATTGAACAACTCCGCTGTCTGTATGAAAAATTCAAATCAAAAATATATTCTAGATTTATCTAAGTATATAATATAAAAAGTATGATAATTATAATTCGTATAATTCTTGTACTTCTTTATTTTTTCATCGGTTATGCAAAAAAAAAAATTTCACTCGAGAGGGTAAGGTAGGCAGTTTATATTTCCTTACACCCTTTTTTCGAAGTAGAGAATCATCATTTGTGTGGTTTCACTTTCAGTGAAGTTGTAACAGTAGAGATTAGTATAAACCAGAGTAATGGGAGATTACAACAGGATCTAGGTCTACATAATGTTTTTTGTACTAAAGCCGTGTTCAAAATAATTCAACTGTGCACGTCATAGCCAACCGTGTGACTAATGCACCACACTATTCCTTGTAATTTGTATTTTTATTTGAATCAATACATATTTTTATAATATTATTTTTTAGATTCAATTGAGTTATTTTGTTATAATTGATAACAGTGCCGGCAGAATGGGTAGCTACCCAGGGCCTCGCCATTTTAGGGACTTCGCACCGTTCATGGAATTTAATAATCTATGAGCCTGTAAAAATAAACAAAAATATAGTTTTGAAGTTCTGATGATAAAATATAATATCAATACTAAGGAAAAAAATATATTTACACAAGTTATATAAAAGAGAAATGTCAGGACTATTTTTTAGCTATTATTTGATGTATTGTTGTAATATTCTTCTGTTAAACTTTGACTCAATGTTTCTCATTTAAAGCAGAATCCTGCAATTTTTCCTTTCTTACTAAATTTTTCTTCTATATATATGTAATTTATGTCAATCTTATACATATAAAAAATTTGTTTTAATATTGTAGAATAAAAACATAAGTTTTACTATAATCTAATGTACACAAGGCATCTATTTTAAAATTAGAGAATGTATTTGTTTTATATTCTATTAATGACTAATAGTTGGATATTATATTCATACTAATACCATTGATTATAGAATAGATTTTCTATTCTATAATCAATGCTAATACCCACATTAAAACAACTACTGTTATATTAAACTAAGACAGTGGTTCTTAATCTTATCCACATTCCTCAATTTATAATTTAATCTGTATTAAATATTAATTTAATAATACATGAAAAAATATTAACAAATATAATAAATCATAGATTAAGATACAAAAAATTTATTCTGTATTAATTTTTTTACATTAGTTATACTTCAATATTTAACTTCAATTTAATATTGACTGCAGCAAGCTCAGAACATAAAATTCGAAACACGGTAGGAATTCCAATTTCTTGTACATCAGTAGAATCACATGTTCTACATATAGCAACTTTACTTGCATAACTGTCTTCTTTAAAATGAATTAATGGTGTTAATATTGTTCGACATTTCATGCATAACAAACCCTAAAAATGGATAATAATAATATAATCAACTATGTACTGTTATAAATTAAGTACAACAATAAAATTATAATTAAATATTATAGATTTTTTAGTTCAGAACATTACATTACCAATATAAGTTCGAAAAATAGTTATCAATGTAAATATAAGTAAATAATACCAAAGTCATAATTTTAGGGCTGGTATTAGGGGAAGGTAAAATACACCCTATATATGAATGACTTATTTATATTATCAGCAATCATTAACAAATTTAGTAATATTAGTATTATAAGATTTTTTTTTAGAAATTAGTCGACAAATTTGTATATTTATAACCACTCATCCAATAAATATTTGCTAGTGCCAATTCTTTATAATTAGTTTAAACAGAAATCTTTAATCTCTTAAAATTGTACAAAGCACTATTTAATTAATAAAATTTAATAGACTTAATTATGTATAATTTTTTTATCAGTATTTAATTAATATTGTTAAATTGCAACATATTATTTTTAGAAAATAACATAGGAGACAAATTAAACACAACAAAGAATCATATACATTTTTGTACAAATACTAAATCGAACAAATAACATATTTTGTATAATAAACTAAATGAACGAATAAAAGAGTAAGAGTAGTCATTTATTTTATCAAATTTCAAACACAAACAAAGCAAATATTACTGTACCAGTGATGACAGTAATATTCAGATTCTTTTTTAATTTTGATAACCTAGCTTAAGGAATAATGGGTGTAAGGTAAATTTAAATTAATTATTTTTGTATATATTTGTTTTATTTAATCTGCAGCTCAAATCATTAGATATTTTATTATTAGATGGAAGAAAGGCTGTAGATTATTTTTGATTAGTTGGAATATGTAGTGTATATAGGAGCATAGCTACAATACTAAACAATTGGATCGACATCTAACAGGGAGCTAATATCACTAGTCTGTAATTTCAGCTAACAGACACATCATAAAATACTTTATTTAAATATATTATAATAACACAAAAATTATAAATACTTACAGTTGACTTATCTGAACAATCCATGAATCTATCTTGCATTAAAAATGGTGTTCCATGTGATATTAATGCATCTCTTTCCATTTCACCAATACGACCACCACCACCTCTTTTTCGGCCTTTTACAGGTTGTTTGGTGACTGCATCAACAGGGCCAGTACTTCGAACCTAACAACAAGTTAAAAAATAATCATACTATTAAATGTATATTAAGAGCTAAATTACCTGCCATTTATCTGATACCATATGCCTTAATCGTTGATAATGTACAATACCAAAAAATATAGATGCTTTCATTTCTCGGCCATCTATACCACTATACATTGATTCTGTTCCAAAATAATTGTATCCACCTAATAATAATAAATAAATATTTATTTAATAATAATATATTATATAATAATATAATAAATAAAACTGTTGTTACAGAAAAATTTATTTATAAAAAAAACTTAAACATCTAAATCAAATAAATCAATAATTGTATTAATTCTATCAATAAATATTACCAGCTTCTAAAAGACGTCCAAAATAGTCAATTGCAGTATCTTCTTCATTATATTTAAAAGGTGTAGCATCATGTACCACACCATGTACTGCAGCAGATTTACCAGCCATACATTCTATCATCATTGCTAAAAATAAAAATTATATTTAATAAAGAACAGAATTTTAATTAAAAAAAATATTTACCAATAGTCATTCTCGAAGGAAAACCATGAGGATTGAAAACAATATCTGGAACCATTCCACTTTCTGTAAATGGCAAATCTTCTGAAGGCCAACCTTTACTAAATATTCCTTTTTGTCCCGCACGACTAGCAAATTTGTCTCCAACAGTTGGATTTCTCTAATAATTTTAGAAAGAAATTGGGGTTAAGTGAATGTTATATTCAAAAAAAAAATCATTTTTATAATATATTATATTTTACTTGAACTCTGATTGTAATAGTTGCTTTATTAGGTATTTTTTGACCTGTTGTAAAATCTCCACATTGACGAACTGAATCAACAATCACCTCTTCTTCACTTAAATACTTTGCTACAATAAATCCTTGTATTTGTTCATCAAAATAACTAGAAAATATTACATTTAGAAGAATTAATTTTAATTAAATAATTATAAAGAATATTAGTAATAGCGTTACCTATAATATGGTGTTCCTTTAGATAATTTTAATCCAATATGAGGGAGACCATCTGAACCTAAATATTCAGCTAGATTTTCTTTAAATGGGTCAAGCATAAAATATGTATGCGGCTAAGTAAAATAATAAATTAGTACATTTTAATCTCATATAAATTAATACAAATTTACTTTGGTTTCAATTAATTCAGTCTTAAATATGGAACCATGAGAGAAACCTCGTTCTAATGCCATTTTATTAATGATCATAGCATCTTCCATATCATAACCCTAAAAACATCAAAATTACTGTAAATTAATAAATTAGTACAATAATTTGCATGGCAATTTTTACTGTATATGAAATGACAGCTATAACTGCATTTAAACCCATTGCAAAATCATCCATTGATAATGTATCATAGTGAACAGGTCTAAACAATGGTGTTGCAGGTGTTTGTATTCTGTACAATTTTGTTTCTGACTGAAGATGCCAATTATGACAAGCAGTTCCCATGGTTTGTTTTCCCATCTAAGTGATTTATAAAAACATACTTAAATATGTTTAATGTAAACTATAAGCATAATAAACAAAAGTAATACCATTCATAAATAATTGAAAAATAAATGCATACTCAATAATATAATTGAATAAACAAATGAAAATTTGAAAAATTTTACATAAAAAAGTTGAATTAGGCATTTTAATATTTTATAATTTATACTTATAAATACTATATAATACTAATACTATATTTATACTTATAAAATAGATTTTTAATAATATAAAACATAAGCGAGAAAGTAGTTATAAAAAGTCATACAATAATAGAGTCTAACATTATAAAAAATGTATCTAATTATAATTATAATTACTTGACATTGGTACATATTACGAGGACTTTGGTTATAGTCAGGTAATGGAATTAAACATGCTAAATGACTTAAAAAATCGGTTTTTGTGATTTCTCTATGTGAAGTAATCTAAATAAAAAAAAAGAATACATTAAATTAATTTTAAACGATCACAAAAATATTTTACTTACATTAGGTCTTATTTCATCTTCAGAAATACTTATATCTAAGTAAACTTGTTCAAAAGTTCCAATAAGTTCTATTTGTTCTAAATCTAAATTAAAAACTGGTCTCATCATTCTGGCATTTCCGGTAAATAAGAAAAGGCCAGGAAATTGGCCTAAAACATTTTCATTTTTCTTTTGAAGCCAAACAATTTCAGTAGTCTCTGGAATCTAAATATTAAGGAATTATTTATAGATGTACTTTAATTTATATAAATAAAAAAATACATTTTTAGAACTATAATCTATTGTCAACATATATTTATGTGAGTATATGAATAAAAATAATCACCTGTTTTCCTTGAACTTTTAAAGTACGAAGTTTTTTAATAAAATATTCTGTTAATGTTTCTGGTACATATCCAACAATACGACCATCAAGAATTACAGTATACATAAATCCAATACTGAGATCATGTGGTTTATATGACGCTTCACACATACCAAGAGATACTAATAACTTTGGAATTTCACGAAGAATTTTTATACTAATTGATTTAGTAACCTTATAAATAAAAAATTTAACTAATTTTTTTAACATGTAAGAAATGAATTATAATTTTTAATTATTACTGACTATACAAGATTTGGATAAATGATTAAGAAGTCCACATGGTGTTCCATCAGGAGTATGAACAGGACATATAAAACCCCAAGCATCTGGTAAAAGTCGACGAGGTTCAGTAGTTCTCATAGATTCAAAAATAGCACCACGATGCACAGCACGAAAATGAGCCATATAACGCATTCGACTTATATTTTCAACCAAAATTGTCAATCCTTAATTTGTATAAATATAATAAAATGTACAAACATTTAAATAATCAAGTTATAATTTAATAATAATCAGATTAAAGTGTCTTCTTCTAATTTGTTTCCTTAATAATTATAAATTAATTAAACATACCTTTATCTTGCTGCATTCCTAAACCAGATTTACTATTGAGATTACCAGTAGCAAAAAAATTAGTTAATGCATATTCAATAAAGTCACATTTTTTTAATGCAGTCATCATATCACCAATAGATGGTTGCCCACCTTGGTCAATTTTAAGAAAATGGACTTTAATCAAATTTAACCACATTTGCAATTTTTCTTTGAGAATCTGAAAAAAAATATATCAGTTTTATAGTATTGATTAGTATTATTAGTTTTTATTTACATTACTTTTAAATAAAGATGACCACCAAGCATTAATTCCTGCATCATAATTGCATCAGCACCTTCAGCTAAGCATTTATTTTGAGTAACTGAAAATAACTTTTGAAGCATAAATACTAAAAGTTTAAATTTATCAAAATCGGTATTTAAATGAATTAAAATATAGTTCCTAGAAGAAATGAAATATTATATTAGTAAACTTTAATCCAAAATCTTATGAGATCATAATTCAAACCTCATCATATAATCACAAACTTCTTTATTTGATTTCCATTCAGGTAATTCAGGAAATCTAGGTCTAAACATAATTCCTACATATTCCTTAGCATCTTCTTGACTATGTATATTATTTTCATGTAAAGAACGCAACATTTCCATAACAGATCTTCAAAATAACAATTTCATATTTAAATAATGAATAATATATGACATTTATACTTATACAATTTACCTTAGAAAATACAAATCATCTTCGTGTCCATTTATAATATGTTTAAATATAAATTCATCAGAGCTACTTGTAAGGCATTTGATTATTAAAAATATTGGTGCATAAAATATTCTTTTCTTAATTGGAATCATTAGTTTGGCTGTACCATTTGTTAAGAAATGTAAAGTATTTGACTGAAAATTATAATAAATTATAAATTAAATTTAAATGTACAACTAATAGCCAATGGATACAATTTAGTAGGTTTTTTTTTTTTTTTATAAGTTATAACACTGAATAATTTACATGGATATAAATTAAAATAAATAAACAGTTATAGCATAATTTGTTAGATCATAGACAAAAATTCGTATTAATCACATTATAGCAAATAATTATCAACTGTAAAAACAGTAATATTGTTTTTATAAAATATTATCTAAATAATAATATATAAAATAAGATATATTTTTATAATTATTATAAAAATGTAATCAAAACCATTTTAGAGTATATTTTGAGTTTTCCAACTTCTAGTTCAAATTCTAATTTACAACTAAAACAACAAAATTGAAAAAGTAAAACATGAAAATAAAAAAACTTTGATACTGAAAACAATAATTTAGGAACAGATATTGGACAAAAATAAATTTATATTTATAAAATTTAGTAAATAGTATTAATAAAAAAGTTTGAATCAGCCTTTAATGTACTATAAAAATTTGTGCTTAGAATTGAATGTAAATAATCTATAATAAATGAAGATAAACATAATTTGAACACTTTTTTGATGCATTAGTATAAGAGGTTGTTAAATAAAAAAAATTCAGAATAAAACTTACAACAGTTGTCAAATCATCCTTGACACATCTAATCATAATACCAATATCTGAAAAATATTTATCTTTATTTTTCCAAGTATTCCTTTGAACAGCAGTTGGGAAATTTCTTCTAGTGCCCAATAAAAGCCGTACTAAACGTTCTTTGCCTTTTATTATAAAATATCCACCCCACTCGTCTTGATGTTCTCCATGGTTAACCAGTTGTTCAGGAGTCATTTTTTCTAAATGACATAATTTAGACTAAAAAATTTTTTTAAATATTAAACATACATTTTATCTAATAATGTATTTAATATTATTATAGTATTAATAATATTTATATTCTATGAATGGTTCAAATTCTAGGGTTTGATTATAAAAACATAAATTATAACAATAATTGTTATAAGTTATGTTTTTACAATTATTGACATGATAAATACCTTTAACATGATTGGTACTTGACCAATATCTCTATCAATAGTTTTTTGTTCAACATTATCAATTGACCAACTCAGTTTTATTTCAAGCCTTCCTGAATAAGTACCATGACGCTGTCTACATTCTAATGGGTATATATTGTGTGTTTTAACACCTAACGATCCTGTTGGTACTCGAGGTTCATGAATGGTAGCATTCTAAAATAATTAAATATTAAATTAACAATAAAACTGTGCTCATCTTATAATGACAATAATAATATAACTATTTTTCAGAAAAATCATATTTATTTTGGGAATCAACTAATTTAAATATTATATTAATATTTTTATACCAATAATGTAAATTTAACACGATATTTTCCTTTTGAATCAAATTCAACTGGCAATAAATCAGATACAATCAAGTTCAATCCTTCTTCAACCATATAATTGAAGGAGTCTATGTGTGGAGTACCAAAATTTTGAAGATTCTATAACACAACAAATATTAATACATTTTACATAAATACTAAAACATTTGAAATTGTTTTATAACATACTTCATTATGAGACTCTGGAGGTTTACCATAATTAAGATTTGTTAAATTTTTTAAAGTTGGTTCATACATCTTTATTGTAGACAATTATTGTATTTGTAATTTAATAAAAGGATTTTGAACATATTAAATAATATTTACTTAATTCAAATTATATAATTGTTTTTTCAATTTTTACATATATAATAGATAATATTAAAAACACGTGTGTACATAATATTTAAATCGTACAGCTTATAGAGATAACAGTATTATCACAGATATTATCTATTGTGTTATCAAATCAAATGATATTCCATAGAGTAATTCACGGTCTTAGAAGACCATGATTCTAACGAGCGCTTTCCCGCAGTAAGGCATTTGGCTGGCTTATCATAAAAGAACGTTATCGTAGTTTTATAAATTCTTTATATTTGATGAATATAAATTATATTATGTCCTAATATATATGGTAGGTTGGTAGTAGAGCAAATAAATAGTTGTAATGGAGACTAGAGTTATTAAATATAATTACTTTATTACATATTAATTACTAGAAAAATGAAGTTATTTTTGTACAAGAATGGAATTAAAAGTCTTAACTCTTAATATAGTATATAACCTAATAATACCATATTTTATCATTTTGCTCTTCTCTTTGTAATTTTAGTTTTCTTTTGGCACATTCACTGAGAGGTGCCATTTTAAAATTAATTTAAATATTAAATATATAAGATAAAATGTATAAATACTATAAATTGTACAAATATTAACGCAGGTGATGTTAGCATAAGTGCGGCGTGCGCTGAATGTGAATGTAAGTGCCCAATCGGAGACCATAATATAATTCTATATTTCTATATAAATCAATATAATAACAATACCCTCGCTTAATGTATTTTAAAAATAGACATATAAGTATACAGTAGTCACTGTCTAGATATGATAAGAACAACTTGACATTGTAGTATAATACCGGTATTTAGCTATAAATAGCAATTATTTCCTAATCGATCGTTTAAATTTAGTTACAAGTTACATTACTTAGATCATAGGTTCTTAACCCGAGGTCCATGGACTCCTTGGGGGTTCGTAGATAATTACTCGGTGGTCCACGGGGTGGCTTTGAGTTTTTTTGAAATAAGCCAAAAATAAGTTTGTTTTGATAGTATTTTTAAAATAATTATAATTGTTAAAACACTGGAAAGCCATTTGAAAGACAACAATGTTTTTAAATATAAAACTTAGATTACGATAATCTTATATGCCATAAAAAGCTATCGTAATCGTAAAATATTATAATATGGCAATACAATCTAACGAGCATTTCAATTTAACACTGAAACCTATCACTTCTGTTGACCCGTCACCGTATAAAAAAAATTATATTTATTTACCTATACATATATATTTTTTTTTGACAGGGGGGTCCGTGATTTTATTTTATGCTTTATAGGGGTCCATGGCTAAGAAAAGGTTAAGAATCTATGACTTAGATTATAATTAAAACCCGATGTATTTGGTTTTATTTGCGTCATATTTAGGCAATATTAAAAATTTGGTAAAAATTAAAAGCAATCATATAATAATGAGCCCCTCTCAATACTTTAGGTGGGCCGGACACATATTAGGGTGGGCTAGGTACACCCTGGCCCTCATTTAGCTACGTGCCTGCCTACCTACCATATACATTAGGACATAATATACGAGTATTTTATATTTATCAAATGTAAAGAATTTATAAAATTATACATTATAATATACCTAATAGTATATTAATATTCATTACTCGAGTGCATAATATTAACAGGCTGTGGTAAACTGAAAAACTGTTTTAATACCAAGAATACCAATTATACCCTCAGATTTACCTTTTAAGTTTAAATGTATTCAATTTCCCGTTAAATTATCATTTGCAATGACTATAAATAAAGCACAGGGACAAACACTTAACGTTGCTGGAATTGACCTAAGCGTTCAATGTTTTTCTCACGGTCAACTATACGTCGCCCTGTCACGTATGACATCCAAATTTAATTTGTATATTTTTGCCCCTGATCCAGAAAAAGTTGATAACGTTGTTTACAAAGAAATTTTTTAAGTCTTTGAATAATTATCAAAATACTGGCATAATTCATCTTTTGTTCCATCCATAGTTATACCTACAAAATGTACACACACAATTTACATACATATACAATTTACCACTACATACAAAATAATTTTTTTTAAACATTATAAAGAATCCGCGGTGGCGACGCTAAATTTATATGGCTACATTACCACGAAGACGTGACTATAAGTGGTCTAAAATAAAAATAATTATTTAATATCCAGAAAATAAATAGCAATTTAATATCTGAGAAATCTTGTAATAACGAAGCATTGCTGGGTCAATTCCCAAAAAAGTTTTATTTTGTAAAATAAATAAAAACCATTAAAAAAATAAATATATATTTAAAGATGCATTAAGATCAAACTTCAAGTTTAAGTTGGAACTGATTAATCATGTAACTTACCCAAAACTATTATAGCTATAATTATAGTAAAGTTATTGTAGATTTTACTAATTTAGGGGTGAAACTAAACAAATTTTGAAATTGATGAAAAATAAAGCATTTTTTTTTTGGGAGGGGGAGGACTAAAATAGTTTAATTTGTGGTTCATGGGGCGGTTTGTTTCATATTTCCTGGGCCGAAAATAATTACCAATCCGCCTCTAGTTCTAAGGATTAATTTTACTGACATACTTGCACTGTTGCGGCAAATGATTTTAGGAATAGTTTGTCACGTGTGCAGCTGCGATGGCGAACACTGTAGAACGCGTGATATTAGAAACGTATACCTATGCAGTTCACATTATATAATACGCAACGATTTCAAGACCATCACGATATTCGGGTCGTCAAATTCCTGATTATTTAATCGTACACGCGTACGTTTATTCCGGTGTGGCAAGGAATTGTTAACTTTAATTAAATAAAAAACACTTAAATATTCTCACGTAAAAACAACTTAAATAAATACACATAATTATCTGTATCAGTTAATCCCTATCGTTAAAACAACGCACAAGTCAACGTCTCGACTTGAACCACTACTACTCTCCAATAGTGATGGGTTGTTCATGAATAAATCCAGAGGTGGATAGGTAGTTTTTTGTTACAAGGAAATATTTTAATGGGACCACCAAAATGAAAAAAAAATTTGCTTTTAAAAAATGTATTATATCAACTCAAGCTAATTTAATTTAAATAATTTAACTATAAAAAAAAAAAAAATAAATTCCCATGAAAAAAATAATGGCATCGAGGGGGCCACCCACATAATATAGGGCCAGGGCCCACAGGGAAAATCCCTTTTTCCCTATGGACCTATCCACCCCTAAACGAATCGTACTGATCGCACTTACTCGGTTCTTTTAGATGCAACAAATGCTCATGCGTTGTGCATCAAAATTGTTCACGTGTATACGTCGATTTAAGAACCAAAAGTAGTTCGCGGTGAAAAGCGAACGCGATCCGATCGTTGTCGGTATTTTGACGATGCTCAAAGAGATAACAGACTTTGTTCGAGGCTTCGTTTAAACGGATATTTTCAAAACTTCAAATAAATGCACAATTAAAACAACAATTCGTGTATACTGATGTTCGCCGAGTGACCGATGAAATACCCATAATTTATATTCACGTATAAATATTTGACTGTACGTAGAATTTTGTACAAGCGTTCGAACGGAGCTCAAACAAAAGTAACTATAAACGAGCAATCGTGCTCAACGACCAAACGTCGCACAATTTGCTCTCGTATGTACGTGCCTTAGGAAATATGGAATGAAATGAACAAATTAATAAACAAAAAAAGTATTAAATAATTATTTTGATGTAGAAATGTTTCAAGTTCATTATGATTATTCATTAATATGAATTGAGATGATAAATAAGTAGTTAATTATTAATTAATTATTATTGTGTTCTACAACTTCGAGAGTGATCAACTTCGAGATCAGGCAATTCTGATTAGTGGAAAATATAATACTCAAATAAAAGTTATTAATTATTAAAGTTCGAGTTAATCGTAATCAATTATTTATTTTTTTATTCAATTATTTATGAGTAATTAGTATTTTATAAGTAATTACAAAGCAGTTTTAGTTCAGTTGATCATATTTTTGAAACAATCAAATGCGTTTATCACATTTATATTAACTGGCTCGATTGAAACACGATAAACATAACTTAATTTCTCCTAAATACAATACCAACATACTTGTTTATTTTTATAAATTATAATTATTCTTAAAATTTTAAAACAAAATTTAAAAATTACACTTTTATTCAAAAAAATTCTTTACATATCTAACAGTATATTCATTAAATATACTCGTACATATAATATATAAATATACATATTATAATATTATTATATAATATTATAACCCGCAAAAAGCTATAGTAAAAATGGCAAATTTAAGCAAACGAGTCAGCTTGTCGGATTTTGCAGCCACCAAATCTGAGACCTCTGTAAGAAGCGGATCTTGGTTCGATTGGATAGTGAGATGGAATGGAAACAAGGACACCGGAATACAACAAGAGGATAACAACACCGGATCCTCGATAGAACATGTAAGAGAAAAAAAATAGAAGAGATAAGAACCTTAAAATAAATTAAAAGTGGTGGCTCAAGTGCTTAGATTCTCACTTCTTATGTAAATAGTTACAATAATTTTACATATAATAGACCAGAGAGTTTTTGCAAATACTACGACTTACGTATATTTATATCGCGACGCAGCCCTCTCCTCTAGTTATAGAAATATGGTCACTCAGCTGTGTGAAAATACCAAGAACCACCACTGCAAATTAATGATGGTTTCTGTTTAGAAAAAAAAAATCGTGCACAATGTATTTACTATATTCTATCACTTCAGGTTAGCGACGAAAATGAAGAAACGGATGAAAGCAGAACCACGGAGACAACCGTGACATATCCAGGTAATATTGCGAATTCTACTACTAAATTCTATAAATAATTATGAGATATACATTGTACAGTGTACAATGTTAATTGATGATAACTACGAGTACTTTGTCTTCGATAAAATGTATATAATTTGAATCAAATTAGCTTTAGTTGAAAGAGAAAACATGTCGCATCATCGAATCAACACGAGTCAGCAGTACGATGAAGTGAATGGAAATTTCAAGCAACTGAAAAAGTTTAACATCCAAGGTCCGTGCAAGGTCAGTCCATGGATGATAAACGATGCATGTTTGGATCCAAAATGGAAAGGTACCAGTAATATAAATTATAAATTTTACGTGGAAACGCGTGTATAAAATATACAATATAATATTTTTCACAATCTAAAAAAATAATTTTATCTCAAGATGTGTGCACGTGGGTGGACCCAAATAAATTGGCCAAAGAGACAATTAAAATTTGCTCAGGTTTGTAAAAATGTTATCAAATAATACAAAACATTGATAATCAATGAAATCGCATAACCATATAAAATATTTTTCGATTGTTTAGTAACCGATAGCAGAACAACACTAGCTGTCAACATCACACCAATACCAGATCGGAAAACGAAGAACACCGATTTAGAAAAGGCGATGAATGGTAGACTAAATTATTTTATTCTCGTATATGATAGTTTGTATAATGAATGATAAATAATAACAATTATCTTTGGTGTAAAGTTATAATTGAGTTGACGAAGAAAAATGCTATCATTGCCGAAGAATTGGCAGTTATGAAAGATAAACATCGTGTAATTGAGCAGAGAATAAAAGGCAAAAAAATAACCATTTAATAACTGCATAGTTTAAAATAAATTAAAATCGTTGTGATAAATTGTAAAATATTTTTTGTTTCGCAAATGTTGATACTAATACAGACGCTGAACAAAATCAACACGCGAAACGCGACAGGATGGTTGAACAAGTTTATGATACGGACAAATGTATGAAAACTTCGGCAAATCATTTTATTCGTATTTTAATCAAATTAAACTTGATTTAATGATTATAAATATTAATTAGCAATAATTTTTGGTTGATGTTTAGCTAATGAGTGGAATAAAAAAGATATGTTTTTAAAAAAAGAATTGTGGTTGCTGCGAGAAAACTTCTATATAATGCAACAGAAAATAAAATCAATGGATGGTATAGAATTATTATAATATTATAGTACTGATAAATCAATAATGTAGACCAGTGGTGGCCAAACTACGGCCCGCGGGCCAACTCCGGCCCGCCATCATTTAATATCTGGCCCGCGAAAGTCTTCTATATTACAGCACTTATTTGTATAACTGTAATATTTTGCATTTACGTAAAAAAAAATTTAGAATGCATTTTTTTATGGCTCGAGATAAAAAAAAGTTGTTTTTTATGGCCCGAGGAAAAAAAAGTTTGGCCACCACTGATGTAGACACTAAACATCCAGTAATACATTGTTGGATATTTTTACTCAGAGTTGTTTTTAGATCAAAATGTCAAGTTAAAAAATATTACAGACAAATTAGAAGTTGGTATAGAAGTTTCGACATCATCAGCGAACATAAACTGTAATCATATTTACATTATTCTAATTGTAAATTCCATCCCTATAAAATGCATACTTGATGTAAAATTTAACTTTTAGTTGAATCAGAAGCTATGTACAAGAGAGCAAACAGTCGGATAGACAAGCTTGAAAAGATCGTAGACGCATTAAAAACCGAAAAACAGTATTTCGTTCAAGTGAACAGAAAGATGGCTAAGGAAATTGGTAATTTTAATTTTTTATTTTTTATTCTTTATTGATTAATTGCAATTAAACAAAAATCACTCGTTTCTAGATAATATACGTAAACGTTCTGTGAACAAAAAGGTTTTCAAAAAATTCAGGGGTCAAACTAAGATGAATTTGGACGACGTCAACAGATTTTTAAATTATTATAAAAGTAATAAGTCGCATATATTTATAGAATTATAATCGAAAACATTAAAATTTTTAATGTTTAACTCTATATTGTATGTTTAAATACAACTATTATAGATATAAATAAAGCGGAGACCGAAATTAACGCTCGTCGTAAATACGACAAACTAAAAATGAGACTGTGTATGATTGAAAGTAAGATTAGATTATCTATAACGGTTATAGTGAACATAAGTTTAAATGTTGTACAAATTGAATTTTTAGAAGCAGAGGTGACAAATCAGATCAATACACAGCAAATTATGCAGAATATTAATATGTTATCCTCAAGTGTGAGAACAGGTGGAGTAATTGAACCAATGACAAACGTTCATTGTGATAAAAGATATCAACAAGCATACTCGTATTCACCTCCTCCAGTGAAACCAATAACATCTTTACCAGAATCAGCTTCTCCATCAATACCGCCGCCACCTCCATCGCCCAAAACAGGACCTTCTTCTGAATATGCACCATATGTAATCAATTCAGATCTATTGCAATCTATGGCTAAAGAATTAAGGAAACCTGATGGTAAAAATATTAGGAAAATTCCAAAGCGTGCGGATATGAAAATTCCTAGTAAGAACACAAATAATGCTGAACAAAAGGTTGCTCTTCCATCACCAGCATCTCCATACCAAGAGTCATATGTAGTGCCTCCAGCACCACCACTACCTTCAATAACATTAGTAGCTCCAAAATTATATATTAATCCTCCAGCACCATCAGAACATCCATTAATATTAGAAGCTACGAAGTCACTTGTAGAGCCTCTAACACTACAGCCAGCTCAATTAATACCTCCAACGAATAATATAGACTAACCACAATTTACGTACTTATTTGTTGTCACTATCACTTTCAGCCCATTTTTTTAATACATACATCTCAACCCTAAACTCTCTAAGCATCAAAATCCGGTTGCCCGGTAAATAGTATGACGAAAGTAAATGAAATGGCTCGTATTCTGAATAAATAGAATAAAACGCATTTTATTTTAAATTCGTGTAAGTATTTGGTTTTAGTTATTTAAAAGTATAAAAACCATATTAATTTATTAAGTTAGTTAAACTTCAGTTCAACTACATTTAACTTCTGTTATTTTTTTTTAAGTCTTTATAAAATCAATTCACATAATTGTTTTTATTCTGGTAAAATCAAACGTTAAAACGACAATATTGTTATACGAATCAAAATACCAGAATCAAAAAAGTTTTGTGGATCGATTTTGACGAAAACTTAACAAAAAAAAAAAAAATAATAATATCTGAGGTAAAATTTAGTTAAATTGTAGTTTAATCAATCAAATAATTCGGTTTTTACATTAAAATAATCAAAATCAAATACACGAATTTAAAATAAAATATACAGTATGTTCAAGTTAAGAGGTACCACTAAATATATCAGTTGGATGACTTTTTATTTAAATGTAGTTTTTAGGAAATTAAGAGAGAACCATAATACAAAATTTCAGACAAATCTCAAATGTTTGACCCCGGTACGCGCATACAGAATACAACTTACGTTTTTTAAATGGCAACACCATTTTTTTTTACATAATCGGGTAGAATATATTTTTTTAAGCAATTTTGGTATAAAAAGTTTTTTATAAATACAAAATTGGCAAAGTTATAGTATATTGAAATTTAAATTTACAAATAATCTGTTTTTGACGAAATTTGAACAAAATTCAACTTATTGTTACTTGAAAATCGAAATAATATCTCCAATATTGTTAAAAAACCTTTCTGTATATAGATAAGATATAAATAAACACTTTTTTTATTGTAATTTACTCTTTTAAAATATGATAGTTAATTGAAGGTAATGAAAATTATAATTATAGCTTATCTATTTACAGATATTTATCGATATCTGAGATATTATTTCGATTTTCAAATAACAATCAGTTGAATTTTGTTTAAATTTCGTCAAAAACAGATTATTCGTAAATTTAAATTTCAACATACTATAAATTTGTTGATTTTGTATTTATAAAAAAGTTTTTTACAAAAATTGTTTAAAAAAAAAAAATACTCTACCCGTGTATGTAAAACATATATGGTATTGCCATTTAAAATAATGTAAGTTGTATTGCGCATACGCGTACCGACAGGGGCAAACATTTGAAAACTCGATTCACAGTTGCAGTCTCGGTTCGGTCCGGTCACGGTTAAGTCACGGTCAAGGATTATGATGTATAGTTCTCACTACCGGTTACAATCAGTCAAGTTCTATCTGCACGTTGCCACAAAGTGTACAAAAGTGTTCAAAAAACAATCAAAACAATGGATACGGCCGAATTAGCGAGGCGGTTGACTATTCACACTAGGCGGTCTCGATCATGCATCGACCAGTCGAAACTTGACCGGACCTGACCGTGATCGGTAGTGTGTACGATGCCGTTGGATTACTTTTAGCTTTTAGCTCGATTCACACTAGCGGTCTCGGTTCGATTTGGTCACGGTCAAGTTAACATCGATAGTACGTAATCCAACGGCATCGTACACACTATCGATCACGGTCAAGTCACGGTCAGGTCCGGTTAAATTTCGACCGGTCGATACAGACCGCCGCGGTCATGAACTTTTTGATCGAGAGCGCCTAGTGTGAATAGTCAACCGCCGCGCTAATTTCGGTCGTATCCATTGTTTTGATTGTTTTTTGAACACTTTTGTACACTTTGTGACAACGTGCAGATAGAACTTGACTGATTGTGACCGGTAGAGAAAACTGTACATCATAATCCTTGACCGTGATTTGACCGTGATCGGACTGAACCGAGACCGCTAGTGTGAATCGAGCTTCAATCTGAAATTTTGTATTCTGGTACTTCCTTTCATTTCCCGAAAATCCTATTTAAATACAAGGTCATTCAACTGAAATCTTTTAGCGTGAACACACTGTATTTTAAAAAACTTGTTTATTATGTTACATGTTTTTTTCCAAGCAATGAAATCGTAAAAAATCTTCTCATATCATTGATTGATCACCAAATTGTCGACCAATAACACAAGCTTCGTTACATCTCCATTAATATTATGTTAATCTAACATTTAACATAAATTATAGATATTAACAAGTGATTCCGAACAACCAAGTTTATGGGAAATGTTTGTATTACTTATATTTTATAATAAACAAACAACATTTTGTAAAATTATTTTGAGTAGAAATTATTTTTTGTGAAAATATTTTAAAAGTTTTTATACAAATCTTTAAGGCTTCAAATTTATGTGATTTTTTTTAAATTTTTCATTTAATTTCCCGGATAAAGTTTTACTTTCGATTTTTAGATTTTAATAATAATCTACATCTATTTATTAGATTGATTAATTTCAATTTCTGATTTTTTTCGATTGTGGGAGTCACTAAAAGTTATTAATATTGATGATTAGAGCCCGGATTTATATGCACTTGCATGTTTGTACTAAGTGTATGCACGTCTATGGAGGTTTAAAATATTCACGAGTCATATCACACCGAATTTAAACATCAAGTTTTATATTGCATATTTTGCATATTTTGAAGATTATTGCATATTTGTTCATAAATGTATATAATATGCATATTTAATAGGTTTTTAATGCACAATACATTTTGTAATTGCCTCGAATAGAGCACGAATAGACAGTGGCGCACAGAGGTTTTAGAATAAGTGGGGCTTAAATATTTTTTAGTATACCCACCACCCCAATCACATACAAATAACACGTTTGTTCTTTTTGAAAAAAACATTTTTGCAATGCATAACTTTTGTAGGTATTATATCCTATATTAATAGGAAATTCAAATTTTAAAAATTAATTTTACAACTTATTATTATTATTATTATAGATACGTATAGAGCAATTTTCATTTTTTTTTTTTTTGTGTAACATTTTAGTGATTAATTATCATTAAATATAGTAAATTATATATAAATACTGCTTAATGGTACACTACATTACTATAATAAACATTAAATACCTAGGTAACTATTGATAATAATGATTATAATTGAGTCTTCATAGATATTATTAGAATATGAAATATTGACAAAAAAATAACATTTTTTGAAAATATCTTTATCTAGATATTTTAATTTTTTTTATCTATTATCTTTATCTAGATGAATTTGGACATATTATCTTTTATCTTTATTTAGATAAATTTTGCATTATCTATTCCCAACACTGTGAGTGACCAAGAATTAAACATTAAGCTCGTTAGGTTATAAACAATCTAGAGTTCGCATTTTCTCTTAAGTATAGATGAACCCAATGTTTTCGCTGTATTCTGCGTAGCCTGCGGTATTGATAATAATTAATGATGTCATCTTCATCTGATTCTGAACATGACATAGTATAAAATCGAAGAAAACAACTGTACAGATCGAATAGATTAACATCAATTGATCCAAAATCAGTCATGTCCGTGTGCGGACTGAAGTTTCATATTGGTTGCAAATTGATTGCTAAGTAGTACAACTGATTTGCAACTTTTCTCCCAAAACAGTTGCACCGTGTGCGCTTGGCCTCAATTAAACAAACATGTGCAATTATTTTTGTTCAATACATTATTTACAAACGTGACAAGAGGAACTTGCAGTGGCAGAAACCTATAATAGTTAGTACCATAGACATATAAATTAAGTTAGTTTACATGTCTATAGTCTGGGCCGGCGGAAGGCATGTGCGGGCAGTGCATTCGCACAGGGCGGCAATATTTCAGGGGCGGCAATATGGGCAAGGAGATAATTATAAAATACAAACAATACAAATAAAAATATGCTAAAAAGTTTGTGGTAATTTATTTTTTCTGTTGTATATAATATTAAATTAAAATTTTTTATGTGAGCACGTCATCAATATGTGTAGTGCGCTATCAGTAATTAATAATTATTGCCTAGGTACCGTATTGATCACATGCCGCCCGAGACAAACCGGTATAATTGTGATACATAAATGTACATTAGACGGACATCGCGGCGGCTTTTGGACTAGGTGACGGCGCGCGGCGTACCACGTATCGATAATGCACCAGGCATTATGAAATATACCAATATAGATGGGACGGGAAACCCCTGGTTTTTCGTTATCGCGTCGCCGCCGTCTCAATTTATAGGGCAACGACTGTAAGATGTAACGACTGTAATAGACGACATTAATTGTAGTTCGACCACTGACTAACACACACATAATACATTTACAGCAGCCTAGTGACAGACAACGAACAATAATTAATTATTAATTTTTACATTGTGATTTGCGAGGTAAGTTAAGATTGTTTATTCTTATTCGAAATTATACTAAAAATATAAATTACTTATAAGTAGGGCTCGGATTTTAAAGTATAATAAATAACAAAAAAACTAAAATAAATTGGTTTATTTGGAATCAGAATGACGTGAAACGAATTTATGTATAAAAACTTCATACATAAAATAAGAAACATTTGCTTTAAAATCCTAGACCTGCTTATAAATATTAGATATTGAATCATTGTAATCATCATTGAATCGTAATACAATACAAGTTTTTAACAATAATTATAATTTTAAAGATTACTTGTAATTAGAGCTGAGATAGTGAGGTGCTGGGGCTTCTATAATTTTAATATTTTATTATAAATATAATTCATAACCCTAGGGCCTAGGGAAACTGTATAATTAAAATTTGTATCGTTTTGCTACATTAAATAACGCATATTTAATTATTTAAAAAAATTAAGAACATTAGAAAATTGTCTTTATAATTTCACTGTATTTTTTTACGACTTTTTAAAAAAAAAATTATCCTTTTTTAGTTTATTCGGATTTGATAAATATGTCAGATGGCAGGCAACGTCTTTCTGGTTGTGAATATAAAAAAAGGAAAGCTGAAAAGGAAGCAACCATAAAAAAACAAGCAGGATCTTTAAAAAATTTTTTCCAAAAGTCTACTGTTCTACATGAATCTATATCTGCGAGTAATAACATAATTACTAATCATACTCAAAATACATCTACATCAACAGTTATAGATTCTGGTATTCTAACTTCTGACCAAGTTGATGAAAATCCGATAGAAACCGACATTGCCTTTACTAAAACGTTAATCACATTAAACGATTCTTCAAACCATTTAATTTCATCTGAATCTAAAGAATTAACGTTAATTATAGGCACTGATCCTGCAACTTGTCCAACTTTTTTAAGCGATAAGTTAAAAACAACAATCGTTGAAAAAGGCCCTCCTTCACCCATTGCCAAAACTTTCGTATTTCTTTTGGAACACAATAATTGTAGATTTACAGTTTTTAATTATCAACGTTGTCTGAGTAACGGAGAAAATGTTCTAAGAACATGGCTTGTCTATTCCTTGTCCAAGAATGTTATTTTTTGCTATTCTGTAAACTGTTTTCAACTTCAAAAACTAAACTAGGAACAGATGGATATAACGACTGGCGACACGTTTCTATTATTTTAAAAGAACACGAGACATCAAATTCCCATCTTAGAGCACATCAAACTTGGATAGAATTTTCTTCAAGATTAAAAGCTAAAAAAACGATTGATGACTAATCAACGCATATTTGAATCGGAAAAAAAATACTGGAATGCGGTTTTACAGAGAATCGTGTCAGTAATACAGCTTTTAGGTCAAAAAAGTTTAGCATTTCGGGGTTCATCAGATCAACTTTACAAACAAAACAACGGCAATTTTTTAAAAATTATAGAGCTTATGGCGTTATATGATCCTATAATGTCCGAACATGTTGGATGAACAATGAAAACTAAAAATAAAACTCATTATTTGGGAAAAGACATACAAAATTAAATCATAAACTTAATATCCGGTGCTATTAAGACACGCATACTTAATATGGTTAAGGAAGCGAAATATTACAGTATAATTTTGGACTGTACTCCTGATTTAAGCCACGTTGAACAAATGACCATTATTATTCGTTTTGTATTTGTTGAATCGTCAAAAAAAAGAGTCAAATGTTACAATTTGTGAACATTTCCTCGGTGTTATTCCAATAGAAACTAGTACTGGAATGGGCCTTTCTGATATTATAATACAGCAGTTGAAGGACTTGGGAATTCCAATTAAAAATATGAGGGGCCAGGGATATGACAACGGAGCGAATATGAAACGCAAACGTTCTGGTGTACAACGAAGAATTCGCAATATTAATCCTCGCGCTTTCTTCGTTCCTTGTAGTACACATTCTTTAAATCTTGTTGTAAATGATGCAGTTCAGTTATCAAAAGAGGCGATTGAGTTTTTCGATATTATTCAAAAAGTTTACGTTTTTTTTTCGGCATCTACATACCGTTGGCAAATTCTTTTAAGACATATTACAAATTTAACGGTAAAGCCATTAAGTCAGACAAGATGGGAAAGTAGAATCGAAGCACTTAAACCTTTTCGTTATCAAATAGGAGAAATATATGATGCTTTATTCGAAATTGTGCAAGATAAAAATGTGGATTCTATGACTAGACATGAAGCTGAATGTCTTTGTAAGTATATTAAACAATTTAAGTTCCTTTGTTCTATCACTATTTGGTACGATTTACTCAATAAAATTAATCCTGTTAGCAAATTAATGCAAAAAAATTAATTTTGATATCAGTGCAGCTATACAAATATTGGAAGCATTAGTATCATATTTGAAACAGCAAAGACTTGATTGCGATAATTCATTTGATAAATATGTTTTTGAAGCTTCAAAAATGGCATCAGAAATTGATGCGGTGTCTGTATTTGAGCAATCGGTTGGAAGAATCAAAGCACGTCGTGTTAAAAGACAATTTGATTACGAAAACGTGGATGAACCTATCATTGATCCAAAAATTAATTTTAAAGTTAACTTCTTTAATAATATATTTGATATTGCTATTAATAGTATAAATGATAGATTTGAACAGATAAAGGAACAACGATTATTTTTCTTTTCTTTATGACAAATAAATTAAAAGATATGACATACGATAACCTGTTAAACCACTGCAAATCTTTGCAACTATTTTTAACAGATGGTAATTCAGCCGATATTAACGGACCTGAAATGGCAGATGAACTCAGAGTTATAATACCAATGGTTGAATCTAACTTGTCTCCGATTGAACTTTTAAAGTTTATAATTAATATTGGATCATTTACACCAAATGTATCAATTGCTCTGCGTATACTTTTAGCTTTACCCGTAACCGTTGCAAGTGGTGAAAGGAGCTTTTCTAAGCATAAGCTAATAAAGACCTACCTACGCTCAACAATGACAAATGATCGTCTTAGTGGACTGGCTATGATAGCTATCGAGCACCAATTTTGTCAAGAATTAGACATTGAAGAAATTATAAAGGATTTCTCGAACGCAAAGGCAAGAAAAGTGTTTCATTAATAGAATTCATATAAAATTATGTAAAACGTATTTGTTTAATTTTAAATAAAATAAATGGACTACAGATAACTTTCGTTTTTAATTTTTAATATTTTTTTGGTTCTGTTAAAATAACTCGTTTGCGCAATAATTGGTAATTGGTTAGGTTACCAGGAGGTTTCACTTTTGTTAATTATGTGAGTTATTTTTATATTGAAATCATCCCAAAATGTTAAAACAATTACACCTATTTAAGTATTCATAAAACTAATATATTTATTAAATTTATATGAATTATTTTTTTTTTTAACGAAAAAAATGTTGTTATATGGGGCGGCATTTTTATAAATTGGCACAGGGCGGCCAAATACCTAGCACCGGCACTGTCTATAGTTAGTACCTACCTACTTGAAATTACACAAATGGCGGGAAAATAACGAACATTAACGGTCGTTGGTCACATAAATGACGGATAAATAATTGTATGTATTCAGTATAGGGCGATCAATGCATAAACAAAAAATTCGTAAAGAAACTTTTTTGGATTTCTTCTTTTTTTTTTTTTATCATGTTTATTATCACACTTCAGAAGAACTAGATACCCGCTGTCGTACAACCATAGTATCTATACCCATGGACAAAATTGAGTGTCCGTTCTTAATTCTAGCCATTAACATATAATATATAGATAACATATAGAGTTCAATATAATATAATAAGACAAAATTTTTATTTAATAATAAACAAAACCTTTATTTAATAATCAATAAAATCAAAGTATCTATTAAAAAATAATAAAAATAATTTCCTGTATAGTAAAAACTAATTAATAAATTAATACTACTGTCGTATACGCCACGCAAAGGCTTGGCGTATAACAACACAAAAACGAGGTATTTTTGGTTGTCGGACACTCTAACTGTCAAACAAGCAAGTAAAGGAAAACTTAATAATTGACCCGGACGACTATCTTCTTAAGTGACAAAGAATACAATCTAGCACTGCTTAATAGGATAGTCGAAAAACAGGTTTTTTAAAAGGTTTACTTTCCTTTAATAGCTCTAAAGTTATTTTACACTCGAAACAACTGACAAAGAACAAGATCTAGCACTGGATGTTTCAAGCGTGAGGTAACCTTTACCTAATCATATTGTTCTCTCCCCTCAAACTGACAAAGAATATAATCTAGCACTGGATTGAGGTTTGAAATGCAATATAATTTTATTTACCCCTTTCGTTAGTTTGCCAACTCTCTCAAAACTTGTACGAGTACGTAAGGTAGAAAAAAATAATAATATAAAAACTTTTTATTTTAAAACAAACGGAAAAATATTTATTAACTACAAAAACAAAATAATTACCGGTCACTCGCAAAACGGACAGCGTTTCGTTCTCCACGTCGATGGTAGTAGAACGAACCCCCATTCCGTCTTGCGGGCGGCGTTTTATGCTATTCTAATCTATATTGACAGCATTTTGTGAAGGTGGTGTGTGTTTGCTGACAATATATTAATTTTATTAAATTTAATATATGTGTTAGGTGATGATACAACACTACTTATTGGCACTTATATATACAAAAGCAAATCAATAAAATAAAAATATAACACATGGACTTATGCGAATATATAATGTAAACAGTAAAAAATATTCAGTCTATAAAATATTAACATAGGTATATAATCACTCATTTCATAATCTTATAAAAACATTTAAAAAATAATAACAATATTTCCTGTATATAAAAAAAATTCATAAAGTAATATCACTTATTGGCACTTATGAATACAATTATATTACATAAATATATTATTTGATACAAATATTAAAATCTGCATAGTACTGTCAACTGTCATCCATAAACTTATAATTTATATTTTATTTTTTTCTTTCTTTATTATTTGATTGTATATTTAAAATTCTAAATAAAATTTGTTACTTTCATTGCAATAATAGTAACAATAAAAAACTATCAGTGTTTAATGTTCCTAAAGATTAATGTTTGAAAGAGAAATGGCAACAATAAATATATAGTAGAATACACTTATTATTATTTTTTTTTTAAGAAGGGGTCTCAATTCTACACTAATAATTTATAATATACGAATAAATAATTTTACAAACTTGGTATGAAGTTGTAAACAGTTATTATAAAGGATCTAGTTGAATTTCGCCTGGATTATGCAAATTGGCACCAAAAAAAGTTCTTATGGATTTCAATAAATAATTTTAGTAATTATAATAATTGTCTTTATGTGAAATGTGAATTTTTTGTTATACTTTTTATTGAAATAATAATCAATGTAAATTACATTATTAAGGCTTCACGTCTCAGACCTTGTTTGAAGCTGAATGCAATACCACTTATGTTGTAATGAACATTATGATTTACAAATACGATAATTTTTAATTATTTATAAAATATACCATAACCTCAAATAACATCTGTAAAGCAGCGCTCAATTTTACAGTGGTAAAATTTGAAAATTAATTCGCCTCACTAAGCGGATTCCTTGATAAAGCCTAGTTGTCCGACCTTATCTTCTAAGACCGTGGAGTAATTACTCTATGTGATATCCACAGATTATATTAAATTTATATTATCAGTGTTATATCATAGAACAGCGATTCTTAACCTATGGCTCTCGGCTCTTTATGGGTTCGCGATACTCATTTCGGGGTCGGCGGCAGCCCTAACACACAATGTATGTCAATACGTAACATGAGTGCATTATTACAATTATCCAGTGGCGTGTCCAGAACTTTTATTGTGGATGGGCCACAAATTTTTTTCTATTTATAAATCATATTTTAATTTATTTAATTTCATTGATCATCGGAATTACACTAGTTAACTACTTATATAAAAATGTGGGTGGGCACATGCCTACCGGGACTACCCCTAAACATGCTACTGGAATTATGTTGGATTATTTTTTATTTTTATTTTTCATATATTTTTTATTATATAATAGATAGATCTTGTCTTTATTTTATGTTCAAAAATGTATGTCTCAAGTATAACTATGGCATTAAATTAATCAAAATTAAATTTTAATATTAAAAAAAAAAAAACTAAAATAATTAAATTTAAATTAATTGAAAAATTAAATGAAATAAAAATAATTATAAATATGTATATTTAGTTATGTATACTAATGTAATTTATTATATAAAATATATTAAATATATTAAAATGTTGGTTTTCATTTGTAGCCAATAATTCCATTTTATAACTAAAAAAACATTGTAAACATATGCATCAAGAATTGGTCTTAATAGCATTAGTTTTAATAGCTTACTCATTTTTTAATATCAATTGTTAACTTTTCTAATTCCTATTAAATAAATAAAAAAATTAATATAATTATGTAAATAAACAATTTTATTATTCAACTATAAAATTCTTAATAGCTAAACTGGTAACATTGGTTTACAATATGGTCTTTTTTAATTTATTTTATATAATGATGATGAAATTGATTGAGTAAACTTCTCTGGTATGATTGATTTTAATGCTAACCATGTCATATAGGCAGTCATGCCCCAAATTTTTTTGTAATCATTAGTGTAGACTGGTAAAACCATTAACCGATTTGATTTTTGCCTAAAGTATGTATATTTGCAATTTGCTGGTTCACAAAAATGTTTAAGAGGAATAGCAAAAGCATATTGTACTTCTTCATGATTAACATTTAACATATCTGGATCTATGACACCAATATTTCCTAAAAATGGCATAATTGCTATATCTTTAGAAACAATAAATCTCCCACTTCCCCAAATATCAATACTACTTTCAGATATTCCAAGTTCTTCACAAGATTCCCGCAAAGCTGTATCTTGAAGTTTTTCATCCATTTCATGCATTCCACCAGGGAAGGATACTTGACTACTATTTCTCTTTAAATTACTCGTTCTCAATGTATATAATAATGAAACTTCATCTTTAACAATACACAATGGAATTAGAACAGCAGCCTGACGTTTATTATCAGTGTTTAAACGAGGACATAAAGACTTAAATGATTTCACATATTTTATTGAGTTTTCTTTGAAAAATATGTAATGCAAATCAAAATATTGAGTACTTGCAGATGTATGCGATAAGAATCTTGAAAACTTTGGCAAACTTTTCAACTGTTTACTCTGCATGACAATTTTAAATAACATAACTTACTATATAAATTATATAAAATGTAATTAACATGAAAGGCTTATAACATGATTATGAGACATTAACTTAAAACCAAGAAACTAAATAAAGTTATTTAAAACAATATTTAATATTTAAAATAAAAAATATATGTATTTGTTCTTATTCAGTGAAATTAAATTTATGCAATCAAAAAAATAAGTTATTATAAGTTAAAATAAGACATTATTATGTAAAATTTTACAAATTATATTTTAAAAATACATATGACTACTCATCACAAAGATTAAGCAACAAGTCATTTATTAATGATTAATAACAATAGGTAAGAACTATAAATTTATTCTCATAAATCTAATTGTATGTTCTTATAATAAGGTCTGTTAACTGATATACTGTGTAATGTATTGTAACGCACAAAAATAAGTCTAAATGTAATCAATGTGCAATATTGCAAAACTTAATATTTAGTAATCGTTATCAACATTTGAAGTATATGATAAAAATATGACTATCACTAATTGTTCTAGGGTAGCCAATATTATAACAAAATATACAATGTATATTTATATCATTCAGGTGAACCATTTTAGGAACAGTTTAAAAAATGTAACACGATGAAAACTCGTAATGGTACATATAATCAGTGTTCGGAACGTTCAGTTAAAAATTTAACTCAATCACGTTCACGCTCATTGCGTAAAAAAGGGACTCATTCACGTTCATGTGACCGTACATTTAATTTTTTTTTTTATTTTATATTAATGAATCATCTACCTAAATTCTGTATAAATGGCACCTTTTCAAAATATATTAGGTATATTTTACTTTATGTTTAAAACCTATAGTTAAACAAATTATAATTGTTTGATCTTTAATTAAAACAACTCGAAGGATCAGTTATATTAACAGAAATACAGAGATAAACGAGCTAATGGTATCAGTGCGCCCGAACTGTATACATTGGCAACCCACTGATCTCCGCGCCCCAACCTATAATAGTAGGCAACTCAACGTGTTATACTGGAGATAACGGCACTGCAAAAGCTCGGACGACGATTCGGTGACGTGTGACGTTATGACGAGGGCGAGGAAGGGAATACCAGTAAAATGTACAATGGGAAATAGGAAATAGAGTTTAGTTATTAGGGAGGGGGAGTCTCTATGAACGAATCAGTTTAGTGCAATGACCACAGAGCTCACACACAAATCGGACAATAATTAACAACTAAACATTCAGGACACAACTTACAGACTACTTAAAATTACGGCAGGTAACGATGGTGAACTGGTAACGATGTTGACTAGAAGTACTGGACGACCTGGACAGCCTCTCACACACCACACCGGGTGCTGGCGGACTTACGTATGGCAACAAGTCAAACGTAGTTGCCCAGAGTACTTACAACGAACCAAACGACGACGAACGTACTGACACAACAAGAATGGTGACACAGAACAATATTTGAATAAAATAAAACTCATTAGACTCTGAATTGGTAGTGGAAGTCTTTATTGCTGGTAACCGACAGATGCTTTTTTATTTTCAATAATAATCACAGAATACTAATAATAATAATAAGAATAATCACAAACGTGCCGCTTCACTAGCGGGCTCCAAATTATAATAATTATAAGTATGCTACAATGGCAATATCGACAAAAAAGGAAAAAATAATAACTGTTGGCTAACGACGAAAAAGTATTTTTACAATAAATATGTGGTGCAACAATTGCGACCAACGATTATAATACAGAGATATAAAATAATAATAATATAAATATAATAATAATAATTATCGGCGTTACATACGACCGGTTTAATGACAATAATTTAAATATTACAATTTAATAATAATAATAATAATAATGGAAACCAGAGGACCGATAAGAGTGCGCCGTCGCCGACGTACGCATATTGCAAATAATAATTTGATGAGCGCCACCGCAGCTGCCTAGAACATATAGGCGCAAATAATAATCAATATTTAAAATTTATACATATATTTTTAAAATGTGTAGTGTATGTATTATTTGTTATCATGTACCTACCTAACCTAAAATATACACAATAAAGATTAATTCGTATTCAAACTTCGAGTTGTGCACAATAAAAAATATATAGTATTTTCTCGTATGAAAACCACGTGAATAATTTTTTATACATTGCATGAGTCCGTGAAAAGGTCACGATGACTGTAAGTACCAGTGGTAATGGATCTAATATTCGATTTCCAATAGTCGCGATAATGATGGGTTTTACTTAATAATTATAGAAATCATTTTTAAGTCTTTTTACATATATTTTTATACAAAAAATAAAAATAAAACTTTTTTTATTTAGATATGTGACATAAAAAATAGAAGGAGTGCTAAGTTAAAATAATAGCTTAGATTTTTTTTTTAAAGGCAACAAAATTTTATTTTGCCTACTGCACTATTTTTACTTGGGCCGGCCCTTGATATAATAACTATAAAAAAACATGTAATAATAATGTTCTGGCCTGACGGCTCAGATAAATTAAATAACTGATTTTGACCTGATGGTTCAGATAGCATAAAACATGTATAAATAATATGATATAAAAAACAATATAAATAAATATAAGTAAATGTTCTGGCCTAATGGCTCAGACAGTATAAAACAGGGGTTCTCAAACTTTTTTTTCCGTGGTGCCTTTTTTTGGATCCAATTTAGACACAGTGCCCTGGCTGTGAATAACATTAAAGACAGAACAAAAAAAATCTATTGACAACTGATTTTATTAATTTTAATATAATTTAACTTAGTTATAAACTAATGTATTTTCAAACTTAAAAAAAAGATAGTTAAAAATTATTGTTATTATGATTATTATATATATATATATATAGGCTCTCTGCTTTTCTCACTGTTTGATGTAGAAGATAATAATTGGTATGAACTGCATCAACATTTTTAATTTGTGACATGTGCCCTAATGCTTCGTATTCCTGTAAAAATATGATATATCTTGAACGTAGCTCATCATTTTGTGGCAGTCGTTTTTTCAAACTAAAGAATCATCGATGAGCCATTTCATAAGAAGATCGTAAAATTGATATGTCCTTGATAGGAAGTTTGAGACTGAAACGATCTTCTTCGTTTCTAGTATATGTGGACTTGAAGTGCTCCTTGCATTCAACTGCTTCGTTGTACAAGGTAGAAGGTTTGTCGTCATTGTTATAGACTGATGACAGTAAACACATTGATGGTACCGGGTGTTATGGTTGATTGTTTACCTTTATTTTTTCATTGTCGAGCAGGTCAAAAAACAGTTCTGATCCCAGCAACAGATCAATGTTACCTGATTTATGAAAATCTGAATCAGCTAGGTTGTTTTGAACATGCTCTGGTAATTACCATTGAAAGACATCAACATATACCGCAGAAAGTTGATGTGTAATTGCACTAACGATGGACATTTCTACATTTTTTGAGTATTTGGAATGCAATGAATATAATTGTACATGAATCCAAGTTGAAGTGTTCATCACAGAAGATACAACTCCACAGATAGGCATTGTAACTTTTTGTTTTTAAATGTTTAAATGGTATAATTTTGGTTAAATAAAACTAACACATAAACAAATAAACTAAACAAACTAACACATATTCTATTATTTTATTTAATAATACCTATATTTTATTTACAAATTTATGGGATAAAAGTCACTATGAAATATACTATATATATATATTAAGTTGTAGGTGTTAAGTGCAGTAAAAATAATACAATTGTTTTGAAAAAAGTTAGGAATACCTACTATAATAATTAATTAATTTTTCTTGCAAATAAAAACATTGAATAAACTTGATTTTATTTATTACATTTATTGTTGGTTGTTATTAAAGTTGTTTATTTTAATTATTGGATAGTTATGTTAAAAATATATTTAAGAAATAATTTTGTAGGGCTCAAAATTTTAATTGCCTAGGGGCCCACAAATGTTTAATCCAGCACTGTATATTTGATATCATTAACAATAAACATGGGTAATAAAAGCAATAAAACACAAAGTATTTATTAACTTTTTTTAAATTATCTCGTATAGGCATGTGGTATACATCAATACCGGTATGAAAATTGGCATCAACGTTTAAAACTTTGTACGCAATCGTGTAGTTAAAAATCAGGTAAAATCGTACGGAATCGTGTAACTTAAAAAGGTATCGCCGATAACGAACGTACGCAATCGTGTTTTCCTTTTTAATATTATATTGCTTGCCATTAATGGTCCTCTCAATATATTAAAAGTAATTAAAGTAATAAAAAGTATATTTTTCAATAATGTGTTTGTTTTGCCCCGTTTTCGCCTTATAAATTTATGGCAACCCTACAAACGACAAACTGTATATAATATTTATATATTATAATATTATACGACAACCAACACAATTAACAATTTAACAATATTTCACGAATAGCATACAAAACAAATACATTCAATACCTATATAATAACACCCCAAGTACCAACTATAATTAAATCTTGTTATTAATATAAAATTCAATGGAAAGATTTATTTACAAATATAAATAAATATTACTGTTTATAAATATACTGTATCACTGATTTTGGTGTTATATGTTTTCGTGCTCACATATCAACATTTGTGTCATATTCGGCAGCTTAAAATAATTTCATTACATTTCTGTAATTGTTTTAGTTACAAAATTACTTTACAGTGAATATGATATCCAGGGGTAGATCTAGGGGGGCTTCAGGGGGTCAGCTGACCCACAGTTAATATTTGTTGACAAAATTGGCCTCTTGGAAATTTTTTTTGTCTTTTTAGACCTTGATTTGAGCTCTTGGACAGTTGACCCATCGGAGTTACTTGAAAAATTAATGCCATGTATATTCAAAATTTAAAATTTTTCAATTCATAATTTATATTTGAAATTATATCATTTTAGTAGAAAGTTAAGTAAATCATATTTTATTCCGTACGTTTGTTGCACTGACAAAATTAAATTATATTTATTAATCGTAAATAAGTCATTATCGGTGGCATCACTAATTCTAAAATGCAATATAAATATACTAATACACTTTTATGAGCATATTGTGTTATTTTTTTTTTTACAAGGTATTCATTTTTAATTCTGTTTCATCCCTAAGAAATGGCTTCTTGAAATGGCTTGACCCACAGTTCTCCGACTCTGGATCCACCCCTGATCATATCCATTTATTTCTTATATTGAATTCAATAATTCATTATTTCCCCGAACATCGCGTCACACGTTAAATTTAATATAAAATTTTATTATATTCTTATAATACCAGTATATATATATATAAATTATTTCATTTAACCTACATTAAATGTGTTTTTCTGTGAATTTTTTTTTTTAATTACAATAAAAATTGCAAGATTTGCAAAATGGGTCTTATTTTGTTTTTAGTCTTACAGACTCAATCTTGGTCTTGTAGCAAAATCAAGACCAACTTTGCTCATCACTACTGTGCGGCAGTATAACTCAGCGTAACTCAGCTTATTTTTAAACTCAAAAAATTCCTCCCTGCCGTGAATTATCTTCTAATAAAATCATACTTCGATAATTGCATGTTCTCGGTCCGTGTCAACAACAGCTACTCTATTGACTCCAGACTCCACATGTTTCGCCCATTTCTTCGATCTAAGACAACAATAATTAATAGACTACTTATTTACAAATCCATAATCAGGTCTGTGTGGTCCTATAGAATCCAAATATAGAGCTCTGATAAACCCTCAAACACGAAAACAATTCAAGCATTCCAGTAAATCTGTCTGTGGCAAATTTTCTTTGTTCCCTCATTCGTCACGAACAATTATCTCCACAAAAATTTAAATATACCAACTAACCAAATCTAATTATTCTTCTTTTCGCTCTAAGTTAACCCATCACAAAAATCCACTAGTAAAACGTCTCTCTATAGTAAATCATCAATCTATCAATGTACGATATGAGCGTATGACATTTCAAAAACTGTCGCGTGCACCATAACTTTTTACTACGCGTTAAAAATATCACGCGTCAAAGATTTCCCGGATTGCATGCATTTAAATATATGAGTGATAACACACGAGCGGTAATAAAAGCGCGTCAAGAATATTTATCACTCAAAACCTAACCTTTTCTGTAAACATGTCAATTAATTTTAACACGTATTCGTTAGATGAAAACTCTCAAATATTGGACAAAGATATTTTAGATATTGATCCGTTAATGACGTCAATAGAAGAAAGGCCATTACTATGGAAGAAGACAATGAATTCTTACTCAGGCCAAAACAAAAGAAGGAAATACTGGAGAGATATGTTTTATGAAACCAGCTTTTGAGGAACTCAATAATCTACAAAATAATATTCTTGTCCGCCATGTTTGACATGTATTGAACACTGCATTTTGATTTAAATCGCTAACACGAAAGAGGTTCATATCATATCATATCATGAGGTAAAATAACGCTTGTTTTTCGATAATGCTCGGTAAAATATCACTCGTGTGTTGTCAGTCTTAGATAAAGAAAAAATATTTTTATAACGTTTATTTCATAAATTAGCCAAATTAAAATTAATGGGGACTTTTTTCAGTTTACCCTTTAGAATGACCACTTCCAAACGAATCGAATTGTTAAAAATGACCTGTTTTTTCCTCTTTTTAACTTATACAAGTCATAAATCTGTTTATGCAATTTGGCCATAAGTCAAAAATAATATTATGTAGTAACAACATTTTATCATGTTAAAGATGATTACAGAACGATTGCCTACATTATGAACAACAAGTAAATAGTTTAGTTTTTTAACAACGGCTACACTGATCAATACGAAGAAACTAGAAAATTCTCGGCTACACCATGTCAATTTCTATCTAAATAATTTATATATTTTCGATAATCACTGACATACTCGTAGAGAATTTTGTATTTGGTCATTACTTTGTCAGTTTAATCATTTTTTTTAAAACATTAATTAAAGAACATCCTACCGGTCTGATTATTCCAATCTAGAAGTGTTGTGTAATTGAAAAGTACTTTTACCTGCGTTGTACAATAAACAGATTAAAAATCTGAATAGTTTTCGGAAATAAAGATAGTGTATTAGCATTTTCATTAATAACACTTTTAACAACAAAGGATAAAGTATGTTTCCTAATGCATTAACTACAGACATATTTGGTAACGATAATCCTCAAAGGTATGAATTTTAATTTTGATTATTAGTTATAGCTCGTATTTATGGATTATGCAAATAACAACCAATTAATACGTTTAGAATTATTTTAAATGTGCTGATTAGATTCTATTTTTTTATTTACTTTTAGCGTACTATTTTAGGCTTATTGTAAATTTAACTAATGGTCACAGGATGTTATCCTTGTTGAATATATAGTCTTATTTAATTATCTAATTCGTTTTTAATTGAATTTGTCTACTAAAATTTTACCAAAAGGTACATATTTTGTATTGATATAATTGTGGTATTTTCATTTACACACTTTTATTGAAATTTACTACAATTAATGGAGTATTTATTCTTCAATTCAAAAAAGTTAGGCCTGTGAATTAAATTATTCATACCTTTCACTAAATACTCGAATTTTTTTTTTCATTTTCTATTTAACAGCAATTTGGAGTTAATTGATAAATAATTAAAATAAAAATATTTAAAAATTTTTTTAACTTTTAATGTACAACCTAAAAGTAAGATTAATTTATAAAGTAAAAGTAGTGCTAACTATAGAATTCAATTTGATTTGTTAAAATATATGTATACTTCAACAAACTATATCTTAGCTAAACAATTTCAGAAAACTGAATAAAAAACTTACCTTATTACCTTATTCCTTGAAGAAAGCTTACAATAATTTATTGCCATTATCATAATTTAAATTTTAGCTTCTTTGTTCTAATTCTAATTGTAAATCTAATTTTAACTAATTTTTAGAATTTAATTTTTAATTTTTACATGACTTTCTGATTATTCTCTATTGATTCATGCTTGATTATTTAAAAATAAAAATAAAGTAGTGATGTTTATCACATTTTAAAAACATTTTTTTATTTTATATTAACTATTATAACCTAAATATCATTTAAGAATAGTTATTTATTTAGGTAATTACATACAATGTATTGCTTACTTCCTTATTAATTCATCAATAAAAGTATATTTTACTATCATTTAAAGCAGGGTAGTCCAACCTTTTGTAGTTGGCATTCAAATTTACACTTTCTTAAAAACACTAAGGGCCACCAAAAAAGAAAAAAAGTCGCCGCCTAATAATGACTATAATAATAATAATGACTTCCATGATCTCTCACCACAAGAAATCAGGTTTGCTGTAGCTGTTTTAAAAACACGATACCTATGTATGTTTATAGTGAGCTAAATTCAATCATGGTTTTGGAAGTTACTTATTGCATGTTAACCTACGATTTTGTTACAGTAATATTGTGACTTTTTTTTTATTATAAGTCTTCTATGCAGGAGAGCTAAAAAAAGACATCAAGGGCCTTATGAGGCCCACGGGGTGGTCACTTGATTTAAAGCTTAAAAAATTAGTTTTATTTAAATCGAGATAGATAATTAACATTTTTAATTATCTTTCAAATACCTTGTTCTATTTTCATTGGTTGCTTTATTTAATATATTTTAATAACTTTTTATATTTTAAGGAATTCAATGCGTCAAATGGATCAAATGATGAATTCAGTGTTTGGCGGGTTCTCTGATCCTATGGCTGGTATGATGATGCCATTTGGAGGTGGTATGTTTGGAAATTTTGGTTCTATGATGGGTAGTATGAATGCCATGAACAATCAATTGAGTATGATGATGGATGGTAATTTTCCGGGCCAGTCTCAATCATTTAGTAGCTCCACATTTATGTCATATTCATCAAATGGACCAAATGGACAGCCTCAAGTATATAATGATATATAAAGATGAATTTAATATTTTTGATTTGTAATTATTTAATGAAATTTAATAGGTTTACAAAGCATCATCTTCTACACGTACTGGTCCAGGAGGAATAAAAGAAACAAAAAAAGCTGTTTGCGATTCAAGAACTGGTGTTAAGAAATTGGCTATTGGACATCATATTGGAGATCGTGCACACATTGTTGAACGTCAACAAAACTTATATTCAGGAGAACAAGAAGAAAACCAAGAATATATTAACTTGGAAGATGGTTAGTAAATAAAAATTGTTATTGTTATTAAATAACTAATCAAATTAATATATATTCTGTTAAATAAGAAAATGCATGACTATTGTGTAAATATCTACTTCATGATCTATTACTGTTCATACTTGAGTAGAGAAGTGATTTATTTACTTATTTACTTATTTATTTATATTACATTACGGACTGGTGCCCAAGGTACAGTTTAAGTTGAGAGTACATTAATATAATAGACAAGACATATAATATATTAAAAAACGGCAATAATATTATTACACTAAACCTGAGGGGTTCTCATTAGCTAGTCGCATCATACAGTAGATCGGGTGGTTACGGCCATAATTTGTGGAATGACGAGGGACATAGTAAGAAGCACATAGCCTGGAAAATTTACATGGAATTCTAAAATTCACTTCTACAAGAAGCTCAGGTTGATGGAACCATTAACTAATTTATTTAGAAAGTTGAGATTGGCTAAGACTCTTCTGTCGGAAAGATTATGTAGTTTTAAATGGTGTAAGACAGGAAAATAGTCGTGAGGTTGATGGTTAATCTTGAGGAAAAAGGAGGCATAATTGAGGAATTTAAGCTGTGCTCTCTCAAGCTGATAAAAGTCAAAAGATGTGTAAGGATCCCAAAGAATTGATCCATATTGAACTATTGGTCTTACTATAGCGCTGTAAAGACTTTTAAGAGAATAGGTTAGCTTGAAATTAGAAAAGAAGAGTTTAATAAAACCTAAGGCTTTTAGGGACTTACAAGTGACGTGTTTGATGTGGGAGTGGTAATCTAAATTAGTAGTTAGAAGGATACCCAAGTCTTTCTTTATGGAAACTCTTGATAGGGAATGGTTGTTAAAAGAATAATCATAAAGGATGGTTGATAGGCGTTTTGTGAAAGACATAACCTGACATTTATTGACGTTTAGAGAGAGCCCATAATAAAAGTGATGAGGAATGTGTAGCACTGTGTTTTGTGATTTCCATTGTTAAACAGAGTATTATAATAAAATGTACACTTATTCATTTTTTATTGTTTTTTGTTCTAGATGAAGCTGAAGATTTTAATAATGAGTGGCGTAATAAAGCTCAAAATATGAATTCACATCGTGATCGTAGTCGTTATTTGCCTTACACACATAGGTAAATTTTGGAATAAATATTATTTTTAATTTCAATTAATAGTAAAAATGGTTGTTTATTTTTTATAAGTTATATTTGTCATTAATTGTAGTTAGTACATAAAATGTCTATTACTTTCTGGATAGCTCTCGTATATAGTTTTTTTAGTTTTCTTTTTCTTTGTTTAGTTTTCAATTATTTGGGGTAATTCAGATTAGTGCCTTCATTATTATGTGTCCTGCTCATCCAGATTATATTGCCTTAAATTAATTAATTTTAGTAATTTTCTTTGAATTGTCTTCTTTTCTTCTAGAATTCTTATGGCATTTGTCTAGTTTTCATTTTGTACATGTTTTTATGTATATATTCTCATCATTCACTATTTATTTCTCTCCTTAATTATAATTCTCATGTACATATCTGTTTCCATTTCCATTTCACATTTTTTGATAATTCCATTCTTAAATATTTTTTTATGTATTACTCTATTTCATTTCATGTTATTATTATTATTTTGCACAAATTATTTATTTTTAAATTATTATTGATTATATTATACTTTTTAAATTTATCAGCCAATTCAATGTTGCAAACAAATGCTGCTATTTTAATTTTGTTTTGTTTTAGACTTTTTGTTGACTTAGTTTTTTTATTATTTTATTTATTTCGTGTTTTATTAGAGTTCAAAATTCTTCAGCACCTTTAAAAAAGCACCTCAAGGCATTACCTCCCGCAACATCACATAGCAGGTATGTTTAATAATTCATCATTTCCATGACAAAAAAAAAAAACTTTTGCTTTTATTTCTTTTGGCTATGATTATCAACTAAATATTTGAAAAATTGTATTAAATTAATTTATATGTATATATATCTTTTATTTATTATTATCTCACTAATTTATTCAAATTGATGCAACTTTTGTTAGAATTTAAAGTAAAATAATATTTAAAACTGATTACGTTGTTTCTTATTAAAATGAAGTTGTTGACATATTAAAATTCGTAATTAATGCATCATATTCTTTACCATTATGAGCCTTATTTAAATTATAACAGATGAACTTAAAATAAGTAAATTATTTATTTTTTTTTAAAAAAAAATAATAAATTAATATCAAGAAAATACAACTTTATAATAATTGTTATATATTAGGTATTAATTTTTTTTATAATGGTTTAGGTTATTGATTTATTAGTTTTTGAATGTGTAGATTATTTAAATTTATTTAAAAAATAAAAATTGTTTTACATTATGTTGCTAATATTAAGATGATATTTTTCACTTACAATAGTTCTAAAAATATTTTTGGATATTGTAGATTTAGTATATAAAATACAATTCTTGTATTTTATGCTCTAAAGTACAAACATTGATTTTATGAGGTAAGTGAAAATTAATTCCTAGGTAACGATGATACTAAGACATAATGGTTATTAATAATTTATTAATAATAACCAATGGTTAACATGTATCTATTAATGAAAATTTAAATATTTTTGGACTTAATAGTTAGTAAAAATGGCTATTCTTCAAATAAAAGTAGTTTTGTCAACATTTTATGTATCTTGATTTTTTATATGTGACTGAAATTTTGAAATTCTTGATATTAACTTCATATTATACCAGGTAAATTATTCTGTAAATAATTTAGTTGAAAGTAATGAATCTTATTCCAATTTTAAATTTTTAACATGTAGACAAAAATATAATTATATTTATATATCATTGCTTTTGTATGTTTGTTTTCCAATTTTATTCATGAGTCTAATTTTAAAAAATCTGTTTATTGTTAGATTTACTCTAAATAGGTTAATTATTGTAAAATATATATTGATATATTTTATTTCATATTATTCTTTGTATAAATAAGTTAAACCTTTTAGTTTTAAAAAAAAAAGTATTTTTTAATTGATCAATTAATTAATGTTTTTTTTATTTTAGTGATGTGTTGGCTATTGAAGCTCCACAAGAACAAGGAAGAAAGCGTTCAGCAAAGCAGCGAAAACCTAAGAAAATTCACCAGCAACCGTTGAATGATGCTTAAGTGTTTTTTTAATTCTTAATTTTATTTAAGCAATAAAACACTTTATTTTTTTCACAAATTTAAATTTAAATTGTATTCTATAAAATAAAATTAAGGCAAGTGTGAAAAAGAGTGACGTTAAATAGATTTTTAACAAAGTATTTATAATTAAGTAATTAAGCATTTCAAGTCCGAAAAGCCATGTATATTAATTTATTTTAATTACTTGGTTTTTAATATGTTATTTTTATTCAATAAAGCAGCGTATCTCAACCTTTGTAATACAGCAACTTTAATACATTTTTTCAGCTATAAATAATTTAATCAGAGTTCTTAAATTTTTGATTAGTTTTAAACATAATAACTTATATTTTTATCATTGTATCAAATATTAATGTTAGTACATTTTTTGTCATTCAATATGCCTCGCACTAATGTGATTGAGAACAGCTGTATTAGAAGTAATAAATTGATTTTCTTATTCATTCATCTGGTATAGTTTAGTAAATTAAATGTATGATTATAACTATAAGAATAAAATACTAATTTTAAGTATGAAATCAAAATCAAGATTATTTATTTCCACTTCAAAGTTATTTCCTTGTCCATAATACATCTAATATAAAAATCTAAAATTACTAAGTTTATAATTTTAAACAAATAAAATAAACATTGATAATTCATAATAATAAATAGAAAGTAACTACTAAGTATTACACATAGAAAATTATATTTATGAATAAGATATATAAATCAAAATAAAATTTTAATGTTAAAATTAACCAGATAAATTGTAATTATTAACGCCTTCATTATTGTTATTTTCATCAACCCCAAGTTTATAAATGTCATCATTGATTTTGCACATTTGATCAAGGAATTCTTTATCTTCTAATATTTTCGCAAGTGCTGATAGTATGCAATAAAACTGAATCTTTGTCATCTTGAGATGTTTACTACATAATTCTAATATCTTGTCAACATCACTATCGACTTCCTAAAAGAGAAAATATTACATTACTATGATGTATGTATTTTAAATTAAATTTTTTTATATTACATTTGAGTCTCTGAATTTTGTAGATGGAACTTTAATTCGGTGTTTAATGTTAGGATCTTGATCATCATCGCAGAACAATGTGAATGTTGATTGTAGTGCAGCTTTGAAATACACACCAGCTAATAAATGGCCTTTCCTGTCGGTTGCTAATAAACTTCTAAAGTTGTAGACTAAATTTCTGCGTTCAGTTACACAGACTGGTGAATGGTAAGATGCTCCTATGTATACTAAGTTGCTCTCTGGTTTTGGAGAGTCGTTCCAAACAGACCACTGTATATACTTTTCACCAACCATTGTTTGATAACAATATTCCTTTTTGGGACAAGAAGCCGGCACGAAACGACCTAATAAAAATTAATTAATTTAATTAATAAAACTAAATTGAACAAAAGAATCAGAAAAGAGAAAGAAAAAATATACCTGTATGTGGATATTGTTGATCGATCATCACAGTCACAACCCTACCAACTTGATAGCCTGGATCTAATAGCAATACACCTCCACGTCCATTGATTTCAATTTGCATAGCAACCATAACATGTTCTTTGTCGCTTACCCATGGATCTGGATAATCATTACTTATATATTCCTCATGATCGTGACTCTGTAAAAACCATCTTATTTAGGAAATAATAGTTTAATTTAAGACTATTTATATAATAATTTACTTCTATTGATTCCTCGCAAGACACCAGATAAAGGCTGTCTTTAATCCCAGGGAATCTGTTTTCTAACAATGCCAATTTTCCTATTAATATCAACCCAAGTCCAACACAAGTATTGGCATTTTTCGTTAATGGTGGCTTATATTCCCTAAAGAAGTTCTCCAATGTTTCACATTGTCCATTTTTGAATTCATTATAAAATCTGAAAAATAATTATTCATTGTATCAATTGAATTTCATTACATTGAATATAACATGATTATTTACTTGATAAAATTAGTCACTGAATCGTAATTATATGTTTGAAGTAGATTCTGTACTTCAATTTCAAATTTATTGGCCAGCTCTTCATACTCCTCGATTGAGCTGACCACAAGGGGTGGCCTTGAGCTACCCCATTTTGGCAAGGGCACTGGCTGACCAATCGGCCAGTCCGCCTTCTGGCCATACTTCAGCCAAAATGCATAGTCATCATCATCATCGTGGGTGTCAGGAGTAGGCCGGGTTTCGAGTCAACTCGGCCACTCATTTCCCCATCTTCCGACTGTTGGTATGTAGCTGGATTCATCCCTGTAGCAGCTGTCTTCAGCAGCTCCAACAGGTCCTTCTACTTCTAGTAATTTTTTCTCACGCTCTAAATATATATATATATATATAAAAAAAATTATGAATTTATGTGAAATCTTATGGAAAGTTATATAAAAAGTATAAGATCGATTAATTTATAATATAGTTACAAATTGTAAGTAAATTATAATTAAAGGTACTTCTAAATACTTTAAGACAGTGGTCTCAAACACGCTTTTAAAATTTTTTTTGTTTGAAAATATTTTATATTATATTATTTTAATTAATTAAATTAATAAATTAAATATTTTATATTTTGACTATCAAGTACAAAATAATAGATAAATTATTATTATTATTAAAAACAAAAATCAATACGCAGTACGATGTCCATTTTTGTATATAAATCAATATATAATAATCAAAAAAAGAAATACATTTTGTCTTAATTTATTTTGTTTATTTTAGATTTAATATTAAAATGAGAAAAAAAGAAAAAGATGTTTTGCCTTTGATGTAAATACAGGTGTAAATATGTATAGACCGTAGGTAATTTGAATTTGAGACCATTACTTTAAGGTATACTGAATAAGTAATTTTTATTTCAGGTAAATTTAATTTTATAAACAAGCATTTATTAAGGTTGTTTAGTACTAATTCTGGATCTAGTAAAATAAGAACATCAATTTAAAATATTGTTAAAACGGAAAAATAACATAGGTGGGCAAATTTAAATCATCTTTTCAAATATTATTCCAGATTCAAAATAAAATGTTATGTATGTGGTGTACAAATAATTATTAGAAATGTTACATAGGTACTCTATTTGATATTATAAAATAGGCGTTCAGATCCAATAATTTTCTACCGAAGGAAATAAAAATAAAGTTAAATAAAACAACAAAATACTACTATAACGGCATAATCTATACATAGTGTATGACTCATCATAATATTTTCAGAATGTATTAGCTATCCGAATGTCACGGAATTCTATGATATTATAAAATATAAAATGTGGATTAAAAAAAAATAATAATAATAATAATAAATACATTAAATTCCAACAAATGTTCGGTACGGAACATAAATCGAAAACGAACAACGCATTGTTGGTTGATTGTCAATTATTTGATTTTATGAACTTGTATGACCCCGGGACGAGCAGTTGAGAAATATAAAGCAATGGGTACGAATTTAACGAATAAATACCGACAGTTGTATAATAGAATTGAACGCGACTGTTAACGACTACAATAATAATAATAATAAACCGATGATTAGATAACATGCGATGGCGTAGGACTGAATCTGATACCGTCGCCTATTGGAATGTGGTGCGTACAACGGTACACGCACCAGCCAATTAGGCCAAGGAATTCGTATTCACTTTATCTTTCCGCGACGACTTCCAAAACGCGAGTTCAGTTAGAAACAATGGAAATCGGACGAATTTGAGTTGGCGGAAGCGGTAACCTAACACGCTCGGTGTGAATCGACCAGCTTAGCATTATTGGACCGATGACGGTTGGAAACCGTCCGGGAGAAGACGTAAATCATAACAATATCGGTTGGTCGGTGCTTGTGCGTCACGGAACATCGTACATTCAAGTGGTGCATGTAATAACAATACCGACATGGCCGAAAGACGGGTGCGCACGTCGATCCGAAAACATACGTGATAATCTAAATCCACTTACCCATACAACGGAGACCCAAGACTTGAAGAATACACTGCCACTCGCGGAAACTAACTGCGTTGTGTTGTCAGTGAAGACACTGGTGCTCGTGACTCGATTTACGGAAATATTTATACGTTCCGCGGCGCGTGGACCGCCCCGGTGGGGGCGCGAGACGACGACGACTGGTTTGTGGTTTTTCGCGCGTCCCCTCCGCTCGATCGAACCGGAACGAAAAAAACGGACGACGGCCGCCCAACGAACAGAGATAAACAAAAACACTGTATCACGCGCGCACGAATTAACAATTAACGATATCGCGTATTGCGCACTGCGATGTTTCGACACCCGCCGAAAGAGTGGTACGTACGTGCGTACTCGTTTCTTTCATACACGTCCACACTTTATCTATTTATCTCTCTTTATCGCTCTCTCTCTCTCTCGCTCTCTCACTCGCCCGTTCAATGACGCGATATTATAATTTCAGCAATAATATATATGTAGGTATATATATTAATTAACTATCGAACGCGTATTTGAACCGAGATAACAAGATATTTGAAGTCCAACAGTAACAGTTGTACTGTAATATAACGATTGCGACACGTTTATGTAGGGATATCATGGTAGTCGTTGTACACGTAACGCGGGACGACGTTTACCATGCATGCGTACGGTGGTTTTCGCTGGCGACGAGGTACATGCACTCGCGAACACTCGGCCGAGGAAAATAAAAGAAAAGCGAACGCGGACGGGGACGGGGAGGGGAGAGAAAAAAAAAACGATGAACCGCCCTATATCGGTCCACTCAATTGTGCTGACGATGTCCAACTGGAGTGCCCCGAACGGCCGAGTTCCATACGTCTTGGTCCGTGTCCGCGCGACTCACGTAACCCAGTTGCGTTTTCGATTTTG